TTTCTATCTATTTTCTAAAGAAGGCCAGGGAAGCCTAGTTGAATTCCTAAAGGAATCAAAAATAGCTACTAGGAGATGGCACCTAGGGGCTAACTAATAACTAAACAAGGATTATCTAATCATGCTTACTAAGCCACCCCTATTCTATGACTCTCCCCTCTTTCTTTATCAAATCAACCTATACCTACTATTCCTTAACTTTTTATTCATATTATACTACTGCCTATCTCTTATTTCCTATTCTGTCCCTCATAGAAGGTTCCCACCGTTGACTGGTCTATAGCATAACCCACCTGTATATAGATATTAGTTACTAAGCCCTACTGCCTAGGTGGTAGGCAGAGCGTGCATAGTCTCTGACTGAAAAACGCTCTCTAAAATGGAAGAATAATAATAATAATTCAGTATGTGCTTGAAAATACTCTCTAAGCCATTCTAGGCCTAATTCATCATTAGTCCAGCCATTGTTGCTTATGCTAATATGCCTACTGTATGGGACAAGATCATACCATTTGCACTGATGCTTTTTTACTGCAAAAATGACTTGCAGTGGTAGGGCCCAGCCAGTTGCATTGATTGCCTCAATGACTGTGACCCATTCACAATTGCCCAGCTGTATAGTCTTTGCTTGGCTCTCTTGTGTCTCTGAACCACAGATAACTTTTACTGTTAATATCACACCTATTTGGAAGCCTGTCTCATCGATATTGTAGATATCTTGTTCAAGGATGCCATACTTTTCTATAGTATTATAAACTTGCTGGAACCAGGCCATAATGAGCTTTAGGTCTTTGCACTTGGCACATTGATAATTGTACTTTTGATTATATTTGGAGCACAATTCCTCATGACAGCTGACAAACTGATTCACCCACTTCTCACTAACAGAAGCTGATTGATTTAGGCATGTAGAGAGCAGCAGCTGGGCCAGATATCATATAGTTGCTGAATGTGGTGGTAATCCCCATCAGTCCATATCAAGGATCCAGGATTTAAGCGTAGATTCTTCAGTATCGCTGAGCTTGCGGCAATTTGCAGCTATGTCAGCACATGCAGTTATCCCTTTCACATGTCTCTTTAATGTCGTTGGAGGAACGTCATATGCTGAAGCTGCCTTAGCAATCGACCTAAAAAGGCCTTTCTTATAAGCATCAAGAGCTAATTGTAAACACCCCTCCCTAGATACATCAGTAGTATCATGTTTGGGCGGCATTGTGGTCAAAACTGTTGGCATAGAGGCAGTTGAGGTGGTTGAGTTGGGGGGACCGGACCGCTCGGTGTCCGATTACGTTAATACCAGGACATTACCTAACGCATCTTTACTTCCTGGACAATATTTATTGCGCCTTAGGCATCAATAATGCTGCTTAGTCAGCCTCGGCTAACTACATCCGCTTCACCATCATGGTCTGCCTGCCCAGCACCACCCTACTCCTACATACCTCTTCCCTGCAACACTGGGAGTCATGGCCGATGGCAATATGCTACCTGGAGTAGGTTGGGCATAAGGGCGGCTTCTTGTTTTAAGATCAATACAATATAGTTTTAAGAAGAATCAACTACTCCAAGTATGTACTATGTAGTACATAGGCAATTAACCATATCTCATCAGATGGTCTAGGCATCACCTGTAGTTTTAGTGTGTGACTCAGACCCATGCCAAACCCCTTAACTTTGTGTTGGCCAGGAGGGTCCACCTTTTCCTAAGATTGGCTCAGATGCAGTCACACTGCATGGCCTGCAACCCCCAGAGTGGGGCAGGCACCACCCCTCAAAATAGCCAGGTCACCATACCATGTCATGCACCCTGTCCTGTACAATAAGAGATTAGTGCAGCTGTGACCAACTGGATCAGGCATCCTTCTAGGCTGGGTTGACAACTGCCTTGGAACCTCTGATGATATTGAATACATTAAAGTTGTAATGTGCAATTGGCAAACCAGGTGTTAGCACACAGGTGCTGTACCTGGAGAGAGGGTTGCTAAATCCAATTGAATTTGGAGAAGGAGAGCTGATGTTAAATAGACACAGGGTCAATGATGGTGAGGAGAGAGCCCGTGGTGCCTCCCTGATGTTTTTTTATGCATTCAGCACCCTGTAGGATTCTGCAGTTGGGTTAGCTGGACCAGATTTCCTCTCCCCAATGCTCAGCCAAACTCAAACACTTCATGACTAATTGAATTAAGGCTGTGATGCAGCAATCTGCCAGGTTGTGGGTTGCTTCAGCCTGACAGTTGGGGCACTCAAGAAATAGACGCCTAGAATTGGCTCATTCCTCCCCTGCCTTTTCTCCTGGCCTACTGACCACCCTCCATGAAATCCTCCACCATCCACCAAAGCCTTGTGTCATCTGTCTAGATTTTGCTTTACTCATGTGCCAAAAGAAACATTCACACAGGGGACTACTTATTTCTGTCATTTCCATGTGTCTATCCTGAAACCTCTTGGTTATCCTAGGCATCTATCTTATCTTGTCCCCACCTTGGCTGCAACTCATAGGAGCCTTATCCTTCACTAGGAGGAGGAGCAACTCCCCCACCTTCTGAGAACACATTTGCGCCTTACCACATCCCCCGCAATGTTTGCTGGATGCTGGAACAAATCCAGTCACAGCTATTGACATACCTGACTCACAACAATTGTCTTCCACAATCCTGTCTTGGACCTAGCTATTCATCATATTTTTTTTCGACAATCTCTCGAACTGCGCCTTGAGGCCTGATTCTATCGGGTTACCAACCTTATCGCCGAGACCATATTCCCGTATCGCCACCAACGAAGACAAAGACATTGCCCTGACAAATCACCTTCACGCGTGTATTCTGTCAGCGCCCCAAACCAACTTCCATTGTGTTCCACCTTGCCTTTCGCATCAGACCTCGTCATCCATCGCCCTCCACAGTATTTCCTCTTTCTTCGCCATTTATCATCATTCATAACGTCCTTGATCTCTTCAATTGTTCATACAACTTTCCTCCAATTTATCACGCCAACGTCCCCTGGAGGCGATGACGGCATCTTCTTTACCGAACGCTGAATCAAGTGTTGACTTCAAAATGAACCGTCTACCATCGGTATCCAGCTTGATGTCTCCCCCAGAGGCAAAGCCATTCGACAGTTTCAATTCTTCCTACCCCCGTTCACGATGTCGCAAGAGTTGTCCTTCAATCAAGAAGTTAAACTGCCTCCTATTTCTGCTGATAGAAAACGGACGCAGTCGGAGATGGATTTACCATCGCCACCCGTCACTCCTTATTCTGGCAACAAGAAGAGGAAGTCGAATTCATCAGAGCAGATTGACAGAGACGTCGTTGTCGGTTCTTCGAGAGATCCCGTGTTGTTTCCTCGCAACGACTCTGTTGCTGATGTCGCCACCGATGAACCGCTGTTCGGGCCTGAACTTGCTCCAGCAGCAGAGGCCTTGGTCAATCAGCACATCACTTCACACATGGCCAGGTTTGAAAACAAGGTCAACAAACCGACTCGGGATGAGTACCTCTTGGCTCTGTCCTGTGTCCCTATTGTCTCGACCCAATACAATCGAAACCCTGCAGCCTGGGCCAGACAGGAGCGTGAGACACTGGAGCGTCAGTTGGCTATGATGAACCGATATCGCCCCGAAGATACTCAATCAAAGCTAAAGAAGATCGCTCCTGCGCCTGCTAAGCGAACTGTTGCTACACAAGTTCGTGCGCCGAGGACTCCTCGTCCGAAACGGACTCCAAAGTCGACACCAAATCACAAGGCCCTCGACTCCTTTGACACAGTACCGTCTTCTACAAACAAGCCTTCACGGGCTGCCGGCAGTAATAGAGATGACACTGATTACAATTCCATCAAAGACTACTCGCCGCCAATTGAAACCCTTGCAGGTAACACTAAAGCACTGAAGGCCGATTGGAAGGGTCAGATGCTCGATCTCAGCAATGATCCCGACCGACAGCTTCTTGATCCTGCCGAAGTGAACCTCGCCGCCACACTTCGTCTGTCGTGTGCTACCTATCTATGCAGCAAACGTCGTATCTTTGAAGCACGTGTCAAGGCGTTGAATATTGGCAAGGAATTTAGAAAAACGGACGCCCAGCAGGCCTGCAAAATTGATGTCAACAAAGCCAGCAAACTCTGGACTGCATATGATCGCGTTGGTTGGTTCAAACCGGAACATTTTGAGAAATTTCTAAAGTGATATCCTCATCCCATCATCCTCTGCCACCCTGGTTGGGTTCTCGATCATCTGTCTAGATCAGCCCCCGGAATTGGTTTCCGATTTCATATTGCTATTTGTTATTTATCTGGAGCAAAGTGGCTACGTTAATGCTTTGTGCAGCTGGTCTGTCGCATTGACTATGATTATGATCAATTCGCACGATGCATTGGAAGGCAATGGGTCCAGGAGTTCTCGATTGTTTTCTCCCACTTCATACTACCATACGCCGTGTCAGGGTCATCACTCTTTGTTGACCTTCTGCACTTTTATTTGATATTCTTTCTGCCCCGGACTTTCTTGGCTGGGCTGTTTTGTTAGTCCGGTATTGCTGATCATCATCTGTGTTACTGGGCTTCACTTCCCCACGTTTTCCTCCTTCGCACATCCTGCGCCTCCTTTTGTGAGTTTTGCACTCATGCTAACCCCATTCCCATTGTTTATTGAATCATGGCATTCATTAAGTGGAGTTTTTATCTGGATGATGAGTCTTTTGTTTCACTCTTTTCTTCATCACACACATACATACACATGCACACAAGTTCTTTGTTACCAGGCATATATGACTCTGCACGGCTCCCAACAATGCATCCCTTGATACCCCTATCCCTCTCCTTAGTTGAGATTTAATTCTAGTGTTTCTAGCAATGGATGTTTATGATAATACAAAGCTTCCCCCCTGACTGATAATGCTACAGATGGCTGTTTCACAGCTAAGAAACACATTTTACCACTGTAATGAAAATGTCACAGAGCAAAGAAAATACCATAGTTGGAAACATGCTTATATGAAGCATGTTTAACCATCTAACAGAGGGGTTGACTGAACACATGCAACACTGCGTCACTACTGCTAAACATAGTATCAGCATGGGACACGATCAAGTGGGCCGTGACCGCTGGTCGGCGGCGTGGCTGCTTTGCAGACGTGGCAACCGTTGTGGAGTCAAGGCGGCCGGAGGCCCGGAAACCTTTCCCAGTGGACCCAAGTCAGGGAGAGTTATTCACAACTGTTAAGTGCCTATGAAGCACATTTGAATTAGAAATACATGTAGAAGACATGTTTGGAGAAAGAAGACTTTGATGATGTCTTTCTTCATACAGTGAATCAATAATAGGTATTCGGTTAGAGGAATCCTGCTTACCATAATCATAAGTGGCGGTTGCATGTATGCACTCCGTACAGTACAGTACATACCTCTCTAGAGAGAACCATGGCAGCGGCTGGTGGGAAGCGAAATAAGCCAACCGCGCAAACCCGCTCTCCGCCGGCGATCTGAACTCCATTCCCGTTTCCCAGGTCATTATCCATTTTAGAACATCACGACGTCTGGAATTTGCAAGGATCTTTACAGGAAGGCAATCTATACCGCGAAAATACCTTTATCACGATGTCCCAGCCGGACATGACTCGGGCCGAGTCTCTGGATGAACAGGATCCTCATCGGAGGGAAAACGACGGCGAGAAGAAACCAAAGAACAGGAGACCTGCCAGTCCGTATACCCGGCTCTTTTGCGTAAAAAAAAAAAAATCCACGACGCTGTTTGCTGACTCAACATATTTAATAAGACACTGCTTTTCGGCAGCAGCGTCTCAAGGCATGGCAGTAAGTACAAGCTCCCTCAAGGCTTCTAGACGGTGCTGATTTAAAATCAAAGACCCATTCTCACTCCGAAATCGGTCCTGCCTCTTTTCTTTGTCGTTGGCATCATATTTGCTCCGATCGGTGGTGTTTTGATATGGGCCAGTGCACAAGTATGTCTTCTGTCTGATATTCCAGTGCAGTAGGCTAAGATAGAGTAATAGGTGCAAGAAATTATGATCGATTATTCGGACTGTGCTGCGAAGGCACCTGTCTATCCTGATTCACCTTCTCCGATAGCAGACAGAGTAACTGCCTCCTTTAAATCCTCGAAGCCGACTGCTGTCCCGACCTGGCAACAAAAGAAAGAGAACAAGCCTCCAGTTCAGTATCCAACAACTGTGTGCTCTCTGTTCTTTGAGATTCCGGAACCTCTTGGACCCCCCGTATTTCTTTATTATCGCCTGACCAATTTTTATCAGAATCACAGGAGATATGTTCAGTCCCTCGACATTGACCAACTAAAGGGTATCGCTGTGGATAATAATACCATAGCGGGAAGTACATGCGATCCTTTAAGGATTGACCCTAAGACAGGCAAAGCGTACTATCCTTGCGGATTGATCGCCAACTCTCGGTTTAACGATTCGATTTCCAGTCCTTATCTGCTCAACAGCGATGTGTATAAGATGACTGATAAAGGGATCGCTTGGCCCAGCGACAAGAAGCTAATCCAGACCACGCAATACAAACCATGGCAGGTTGTGCCTCCACCAAACTGGCATGATAAGTATCCAAATGGTTATACCGATGATAATCTACCAGATCTTCATGAGGATGAGGCATTCATGGTTTGGATGAGGACTGCTGGACTTCCAACGTTCAGCAAGCTATCCCTGAGGAACGACACCACGGCAATGCCCGCTGGCACTTACCGAATAGACATTGATGACTGTAAGTATCGCAACAAGCTGTCGATTCCGCATCTAATGCGTTGATTCATACATAGATTTCAATGTTACGCTCTATGGCGGCACCAAGTCTATCCTGATCTCAACACGGACAGTCATGGGAGGCAAAAACCCTTTCATGGGAATTGCTTATGTCGTCGTGGGCGGTATTTGCGTCGTACTTGGTGTTCTATTTACCGTTGCGCATTTGGTAAAGCCGAGGTAAGTTAGCAGCTGATGACAATGTTACCCCCTCAAGATTATAGACACGGAGGCTTACTTTCTTCAAGAAAACTGGGTGACCATACTTATCTGACTTGGAATAATGATCAACCAAGTGCTGGCGTTGCAACAGGGCGCGACAACAGATTCGGGGCTGGTGCATCGTAAACTCTTTTCCATTTTCTGGCTCCTCTTTTTTTTTTGCAGCTTCTGGCTGCTGAAGTTCCTTTTAGCTTCGCTTGCTTCTCGATTGCGATTCTGATTTCACTCTTCCCATGTATGTTTTCTATTTGCTGTCTGCCTCCCTTAACACTGGCGTTGATGGATGACATATTTGGCGTTCTTGAGTTGGTGGTACCTTTATACTCCTACTGAAATTAAAATGTCGGACTTAACTGATTTTCCCATCTCATACTACAGATATGTCTGTTTTGTGTGTTTAACACTCTTGATCTACAATTATACACTTGAGGAATTCTGAGTGCCATATGTGACTTGATACAAGTGTCTTGCATCAATGGAATTTGTGCACCCTGTCTACAGCATTCCAATTGCATCACAACATATTTACGCACTCGGAGTGTCATTGCAGGAGCAGCAGCATTCCACATGCCGTCAGTAACCATCCATCCCATTCAATTGTCTTAAATGCCAGCATGGCTCGCTTTTCATGGTGTTTGTAGTGATGTGTCCATATTACGGAATAAAAAGTTCAGGACAAGAGCACTATGCATTGGTTCCTTGTTTTGTCACTCCATATACTTCCTGCCTCTACAGCTTTTCTAGCCCAGCAAAGTAATCTTGGACCTTCCCCTCGAGGTTTCTGCGGGACAGGTCCCCCAAGCGATTTACTAAGGGCTGAACACAAGCGCCTTTCCTCTGTTGACACTCAGCGTGTCAAAGGTGATGATGGAAGCAATGATGCCTTGTCTCCGATCCAGATTGATACATGGTTTCATATCGTGAGCACCAATGACCAAATGGATCTCGTGACGGATGATATGATTATGTCCCAGGTGAGCATTGACCGTTCAACTCAATTATTATGCTTGGAAGAATCCGCGACAAAAACTAATAAAACATGAGGACAGTTCTCTTACCTTCAGCGAGCGTACGCCAACACCAGCATCTCGTATAAGCTCGTCGGGGTCGATCGCAGGATCAATGATACCTGGGCTCGCAACGGCGACGATCTTGGGATGAAAAGAACATTGCGCAAAGGGACATACAGAACGCTGAACATCTATTTCCAGACCGATCTACAAGTGTCTCCTGGGAGTAGTATCAGTGCCCGTAGTGACAACAACAGTAATGGAACATTTCCCATGTTGCCTCAATTTGCTTCAAACCTCCTAGGTTTTTGCACACTTCCTAATCCGAAGATCAACGCGAGCAGCCCACCGGCTGATTATATCGAGGATGGCTGCAATATACTGGCGGCAACCATGCCTGGAGGATCCATAGCGCACTATAATCTCGGGGGTACAACCGTCCACGAAGTCGGTCATTGGAACGGCCTCTTGCACACATTCCAGGGTGAGACGTGTGATAGTGACGGAGACTATATTCCTGACACACCTTTTCAGTCCGTTCCTACGGATGGATGTCCTGCCACGAAGGACTCCTGTCCTAACTCTCCTGGTCTGGATGCCATACATAACTTTATGGATTATTCGTCTGATGACTGTTATCAAGGATTTACCAACGACCAGGCCAACAGAATGAGGAACATGTGGTCCTTAATGAGAGATGGGAAATGAAAAAAAAAAATAAAATGGAGAGTTTCGAAATCATCGGACTCTGCAACGTATATTCCAGTTAAGCTGGCATCAGCGCCTATGCCACGTAACTTTATATTACCAATTATATTACCAATTTGCAGTAACGCTGGCGGTTGTGGAATGATAGTGCTGGGTGCTTTATTGGCTAACACTGGAATTTTTTTTGATATTTTGCAAAGATAAAAGTCAGAACACGCATAATAATGAAAGTAATACAGAGAACCGAAACAGAAAATAAAACAAGCTCTGCTGGGACCGCAAGGGTAGTTCGACATAAAGACTATTATGCTATGGGATTGCCAGATCTCAGCGTAGGTTGCCGAAATGACCAGGCGGAAAATGGTACCCTTTCCGAATATGAAAATGAGAAATAAATGACCACAGTCGCGTCTCGCTTCGAAACCTTTCCCCAGGAAAAAAAAAGAGTAGAAATAAGGTTATGGCGAAGCTCATTCGGATCAGCGCTTGCGTTTCTTCCCCCGTTCTCCATCCGGACCACTTTCCCTGTCCTTTTTCTTAGCTTGCCTCTCTAGTTCATCCCAGTCCTCACCACTCTCCTCCTCAACACTAAGATCCTCGCTGGCTTCGGCACTAGCATCGTCATCAAAATCGCTGTCATCCTCCGAACTTTCATCTGAGGCAGCCAGTTCGGACTCTGACAATTCGAATGCACTCTCTTCCTCTTCGTCGGAACCATCTTCAGAATCAGACTCGGCTTGCAGGAACGACCATCCACCATCAGCAAAGAAGCCGTAAGGATCACTGGCAACAGTTTTCATGATGGTGGTCCAGTTAAGGTTCAGGGGTCCTTCCGTGAACGGAATATCTACGGAATCGAGCCAATCTTTGACTGGCTCTAGTGATTCAACAGGAATAGTATTGATATGCACTGGAGGTCTGTTGAAATCCTTGAACACAAAGACCAGATCAAAGTTTTTGAGTCCGAACTGTAATCGTAGTCAGCGAAATATGAAAACAAAAATACCACCCTGAAGCCCGTACCTGCACTCGTTCTAAGTGAGCAATCTCGATTTCATTGAGTGTTATAACCAAGAAAGGCGGTTCGGTCAGCTGAACGATAGCATCCGTAGTAGGTTGAATGAGAACGTTAGACCGATTGGGCACTCCGTGGAATCCTAACTCTCGGAATGGTATATCGACATCAACACCTTCGTCTTTTCCTGCATCGGAGATTTTTTCAGCGAACGCCTTGAACTCTCTATCCAAGGCTGCTCTCCGCCTGCGCTCCTCTTGCTCTGCTTCGAATTCCTCTTCGTCACCATAGCGATGCTTGCGCCTGCGATTGCCAGTTTCATCAAACTGCATTTCAGTGGCCTCTCGGTAGAACTGTACGTCTTTAGTTTTCCTTTTCCCGACCATAATGGGTGTCTTTAGATGCACATGTATGATCACAATAAGTTCATGCGCACATGGCTGAAAAAAGAGATGTTTAACATTGCTGAAAAGAACATCTACGTGTTCATTGCGCAGAGGTGACACGTATCGAAGGCCATTTTGATGAATTTCGACTTCTCCTGGGACTCGCTTCCCATCCAGAGGCGGTCGGAGATAAACATCGGGGAGCTTCACAGGTCGGCGGTCTAGACACCATCAGCAAGAGTACATAATTTCAGACGCGGAACCTGAACCTACTTCGAATCTCAATTAGTTTATCTTGTTCCACAACATCTTCCATTTCTTTTCTCTCTTGTTCTCTTCGCAAAGCAGTTTTTCGCAACTCCGTGATGTCTTGGGCAATCTGAGCGAATCTGTCTTTGTCCTTAGACCTCAGGGTCAAGTTTCGGACGAAATTGGCAGATGGGTCTTCGAAAGGCTGGTCGTCTTTCCTGCCAACACCCTGCCCGGGAGAAAGGAAGTTGATGCGTAAGTATGCATATTCTCCCTCGTCACTTTTGCTAGCATTCTTGATGGTGTTGATGTGGAAAGGAACAGGCCGGCCCATGATTGGCACAATTACTGTGGAAGCCTTGTGGTCAACGTAAACGGTGAGGTCCCTGACTCGTGGGGGTAGTTGATTGTCACGTTTATAAGATTCAAAGCGCTTGAACGTCTTCTGGGCAACGCCATTTCCATCTCCTGTAGTTCCGGCGAAACGTTCTAGACCTTCCTTCAGCTTTTTGGCAGCTAGCTCCTTTTGGTGTTCACGGCGACGAGCCTCGGCCCCCTCGTTTATCTGAGTCGGTCTTTCAGCACGAAGCTTCGTCTTCGTAATGTTCTTGCTCGCAATAGCACTTGATCGGACATCTGCTTTCTCCTTCGAGGGCTGTTGAGGTTCTTCTTCATCACCGAAGTAGAAAGAGACCGAGTCCATATCAACACCAGCGTCCTTGGTGAAGACGTGAGCCCCCGTTTCGCCCACGCGAACTGTGTCCGTAATTATCATCGAATATATGGCGTTTTTCTTGTCCTTTGGTTCTGGATCCTGGATATCCGTAAAGCCAATTGAAATAAAAAGTGTCATCCCGTTCTTCAATGTTCTGGTATTCTTTCCATTCAGTACCATATTCGAGTCTCGCAACTCGATTCCGATTCCAGCACCGATGTTTTTGAGAAAATGTTTCTCAAGATCAGGCTTCTTGGCACGGATTATGCCGAGTGCTTTGTTGTACAGGTCCTTGGCGACTGTGCCGTCGCGAACATCCTTTAAGATAGCGTCATAGATGTTCAATAAGAACGCGTAGTTTGTCTCCTGAGACTTGCTGGGGTCCACGAGGTAAGTCCGGGCAATTATCGCACTGTACGTTTTATATCTAATTCCGAATCCAGCGATAATAATGCCAGCATGGAGGTCGTTGGAGTCAGAAGTAGCGGTCAGTCGTAGGTCGTAATTTCCCCCGCTCTGCACGACCGGGCCATAAGCCCAATCAATCTGCTGGGGATCAAACTCGGGAGGCAATTTCGCTAGTTTATTGAAGAACTTGGCGTCGTCTATTTTTGCATCGATCTTTGCCGCGAGCGCCTTGTGTGTCATGCTTTTGCCTTCGTCCAGTAATTGCGACATCTCGTCCACAAAATATTCTGACATGAGACCACTGCAGGCTCGAGCTGCGTTACGCATCGATACCTAAAACCAGCATCGATTAGCTTGTGTTGCAAATAAGGATAGGGAAACAAAACGACATACCAGCTCCTCAGGGCCCTTGACAGAGAAAGCAGCTGCAGAGAGCGCAGGAGCAATATCAACTTCCTCGATGTCCTTTGAAATGTCCCCAAAAGCGCGTTTCCAGTCTTCTGCAAATGGGCCAAAGGCCGCATCTTTGGGCAAGGTACCAACCTTCTTCTGCGAGACAGAGTCAGAACAACGCAAACATCATACAGGTAATGGTAGTAGATACTCACCCCAGCATTTTTGATAACATCGAGGCACTTTTCAAAAGCCTTCGCTTTAGATTCTGGGTCCTTTGTTGTGACCAAAATCTCTACCGGGATTTTGCCACCCTTTAACGGTTCCAGATGTTTTGCTGTGATTTTTATAAGCTTAAGTCCTTCAACAGTAGACGGAGTCAAAACCGCTCACCCTTCTTTGCAGTTGTCACCACATACATCGCCTCTGTAGTGAAGACAAATAAAGTGGCGGGAAACTCATAGCCGAGCAGCCAGAACTTGAAACAAAAATAACAAGTCAGTAATTCAGCAGATTCACAAGGGAAACAGTAGATGCCTCACATGCATGGCATTGGCTTTCTGGAAAGAATTCGCTTCATCTGTCTTTCCCATTAAAATAACGATTGATCCCACTCCTCCAAACACGCCATTTCCAGATCTTTTGTCAGCCTTCCATGCTGTGTAGAAATTTGATAGACGGTTAAAGAATGTGGCCTTGTCAATGACGATGTCCTCCGCCATCTTTGGATAGGTCGGAGGCGATGGCGTTATGAAGTATCAAACTCAGCGACGCGTTTCCGGTGCTGGATCAGTAATAGTTGAGGACACCAAAAAGCCGAAACCATACGTCAGCTAGAGGTGGGTTGCAAATGTTTGGTGGCTGCGATCGGACTTTTGAGAATGATGGCGATGATGACTGCTTGCACAAAAGGAGATCAACTTGTAATATTATTCTGTAGCAGCGGAGCAGTCGTCAACATATGCGTGTAGCGCGTCCTATTCATGCCAAGTTAGGCTAGACAAGAGTCTGTTCGTAAGTCGCGATGGCAATAACTGAAGTCCGGTTCTGGAATGTTTGTCTGGTTTGATTCGGGGCCTACTTGTCTAACTCTTTTCAGGCTTAGCTCAAACTTCAAGGCAGATACGTGATACGTGATAGGTACCTAGGACCTGTAGGCTGTAAACCACGTAAACTACCTGGTACTAATAATACTCCGTAATCTGTAGATACCTACCTATCTATCTAAATCCGCCTATATAGTAACTTCTTCTCCCCAGTCATTCTCTATCTCATCTTATGCTGCACGTTTGCAAAGAAAAATTCTCAGGGCTCCCAGTGTCCTAAGTGCTCTTTTTTATTTTTGCAGATACCCCTTCTGCAATTCTATTCTTATTGTGTTTAGGACTTCGAGTTGTTCGGAGTTACGGTCGCAGTTATGCATTTTATTTCCTTGTTGCTTTTGTCCGTCCTTTAGTAGCTTGGTCTGACCATCGTTTTATCGGAACTACTTGATGCTCCGAAAATGATCGCTCCGGTTAACCTCACGAATGCGGACCAGCTTTCAGATGCAGATTCTGATAATCGCAATAAACCTCGCAACAATGCAGCTACTGGAGCATCAGCCGCAGGGGTGCGTGCTCTCAGCGCACAAATGGTAGCATTCTACTTCAGGGCTCCTGTAAAGGCTTTCTTCCGTACCAGAGTTGAGTATGTTACCCTCTAAACGATTCCTCTTACATGGTGATTGACAAAAACAAATTCAGCTATATGGTACAGAGTTTCTTGGCCTCTTTCTTTTTATGGACGCCTTCTCATTCTGACCGATGGATATGGACGCACTCATAGGCATTTGCCCGAGCGATAAGTCCTCGGGTGGCTGAAGGGAAGTGGTCTCTTCATACTACTACACCTGGCTTGCTCGCCCATGCTGTCCGAACACATGGCTGGAGATTTATTCCTGATCAGGTCTTGCCCCCTTTACTGGCTAACACAGCGTTAGTTTCCTCCCTACCGGATCTCAAGGGTAATTTCTACTGACGTGGTTTTTTCTCGCCAGGGTTGGCGCTGTTCTTTACACATCCTATCTCCAGGTTCTGAGTGCTCTCCATGAGCCCACATCCCAGGCAAACAAAAGGATATACCCGCCAGCGCCTCCATCGGATACATTTATTGCTGGATTTTCCGCCGGAGCCATACAGTCTGTGGTAGCTGCGCCATTGGATGCTCTTCAGGTCCGACTGCGAACCAACGATATGTTGGAGGGGCATTATAGTAGTATGTGGGATTACGGAAGACACAAACTTCGAGAGATCGGTATCCGTGGAGTCTTTGCAGGATGGACATTGTCTTTCTTGCGGGATTCTTTTGGATATGCTGTCTTCTTTTCTTGCTTCGAATATATCAAATCGCAGGCATACTACTCATATATTACCCGCTACTATGGATCTCTTCATCCTGATCGGGCGCAGCGGGTGGCCTCTTCCAGCACAAACGACTGTACAGTACCAGTTATTAGGCCGCACTATGCACTAGAACCGTGCTTCTTGATGGCCGCAGGAATCACGGCATCCGTCATGCAGCAAGTTGTCCAGCATCCGCTGAGCATGATCCAAAATTTACACTTCCGACGGCTGGAATATTTAGATCATCAGGCCAGTTTGAAACACTCCAGACAGCAGATGATGCGACACTATTATCGCGCCTACCAAGAGACATTTAAGCGATGCCGCAAGAAGGCTACTCGGGCTGGAGGATGGTGGCGATGGCTCTTCCAAGGGTTTGTGGGCAACACTGTTCGTCAGGTGCCTAGCACCAGTGCTGGCCTTGTGATATTCGAGTTAGTGCGGCGCAAATATGCCAATCCAGCTGACGCAGTGCGCATTAAAAAGGATGGATACGACATCCTCCTAACCTAATCGCCAATTTAGATTAGACGCGGGTGGCGCCAACGTTCCCGTCGGTTGCTTGTATATATATTACAGATGCTGTAGCGGTACCTAGGTAGTAGATACACGGGAATTAAAGCTAATTTCTGTGACCATGCAGAATGATGTCAGGGGCGTCATTACATGACATAATCTGGGGTCCATCTTCAATATACAAAATAAGGAGGCAACGTAGGCGAAGTAAACAACTTTACAGGGCTCTAGTGACAGACTGATGCCTATGTCCTCCATGCAGCTACGACTTTCTTCCAACTTAACTGATTCCAGGCGTTCAGACTTCATCTGTCTGTCAACTTGTATGTACGGAGTATACGGACTACTCCGTACCGCATTTAGGGAAAGGATCCCGGGGAGATCCCCGCAGCTGATACTCCGTCGGAGTACTAAAGAAGTCCAAGTGGAGTTACTTACCACTTTAGTGGCTGAAGCAGCGCATTCTTAGGTACGGAGTACTCCATACTGTAGATGCACACCGTGCAAGGTACAGAGTACTCTGTACGGAGTACTCCGTACATTCTACTCCGTAATAACTACACGAGCTGAGCGAGTCGTTTACGGCTTGTGATTAATAACGAGACAGAGTTACTCTTTCCTCCTCCACACTTTCCACACATTTACCTTCGTTGTGAGAACGTGACCTGCAAATTACTTTGTACTGTACTTATCTCACATTGTATTAGGTGTCCAATTTCCTTTGTCACACTCCCAACACCCCAGATCTAAATTCTAAAGCCTCAACATATCGAAATGTCTCCATAGCGTGTCATACCAGCTTTTGCAGGATTCCTCTGTACAGTACAGAATAAAAGCCATCTTGGTCAGATGACCTGGCAAGTTCCAAGGCTGAGCTCCAGTCAAAGTAATGACGTCGAAGGCTCTCCAGTTTCTGATGTACATCTGTAGGAGCTTCATGAAAATTTAAGAACGACAATCTATCCATCAGGTTAATTTTCAGGCACCACTCATCATGTAGAAGGTCATGTTATTACTCACAATCACACTAGACAACATCTGCATTAAAGTGCACTTCCAACGTAGTATTTGAGTCATGAACTACCCACTAGGTAGGTACCTATCTTGGGGTATGTTGAAGGAGCTAGGGGCGATGGCTTTCCGATTGCGGCGACTTTCGGGCGGCTGCTAGCACTGGAGATCTGGCAAGTATACGGAGTACTTACTTACCTCCTGAGCCGTCTACAGTTCGAGTCGTCCTCTGCATTGCCTGCCCCATCTTGAAGTGCATTGCCCGCGTGGCCACTTTCTTTTTTATTCCGCCAAACAAGCCGATATCCAGCCCGTCCGCCAGTCCAATTCCATTCATCGTATGCAGTCATTCTTCCGAACGCCTCGCCGATTGTGCGCATGACCATCGACTGCTGAGGCCTTCCCAAACTCTGTCAGTCCGAGTTGTCTCGTGAGCGGATTGGAGCCCACCGCTCCCGCACTCCTGCTGCTACTGGCTGTCTCCGCATTACGGGTCTCAAGAGGCAGTAACCGACTTGCTCCTTGCTTTCGACTTCACCGCGGGTGCCCGACTAGGAGGAAACAACCGCCCAGAGCGATAGCTGGAATAGCCTTCTCCGTGCCTGCCTAGGTGTGCCACGCATTGTCCGCTGCAACTTTGCATATCCGTGGCACCGCTCCCGTGCTTGTTAACTACTAGTTGTCATTTTATTCTTCCTGTTCCACCCAAACAGGGCTGATTCAGTCAGCCCGTTTATCGCCGCCATCATTCCTTCCCCAAAGACGTCTCGGCACGCCACCCCTAGCATTCCCCTCCAGTCCCTTCATTCTCACTCCCGGTCCTCTGGGGAACAGTCCACATTGTTGCCCGAATCTGAAAGCAAGAGGACGGCCAGCCGGCGGTCCTCTCTTTCATCACATTCCGTCGACTCCGACTCTTCAACCTGGACCGACACAGGTGACTTGGCCGAGCAGCTTGTCAACGAAGAGGACCCTCTGCAGATCAGACTCCGTAAGTCGGTCGACAGGGAGTTCTCCAGAGGATCTGGGCTTCGGCCTGGAGGGAAGAGAGTGAAGCGGGTGCACTATTCGGAGGAAGCCTCCGAGCACCAAGGTGAAATCGACAAAGAAGCCATAGAAGTCCCTAAACCCGCTCCCAGACGTATTTCCCAAACGGAGCGGATTTTGGCAGCCATCATGTCTCCGAACAATAGGGAATCTGCCCAGATGCATGGCTTGGTAGGCAAGCCGTTACTGTGCGTCGCCCGCGATCGGGTCAAGAGGGCTCATCATTTTCTTGCTGTAGCTGCTAACGGTCATCAATAGATACTTTACGAGTGTTTTTGTATCATTAGGCGTTTTTCTGTTTGGCTATGACCAGGGGGTCATGTCAGGCATCATAACGTATGTCCTGCCACTTTCCCACAAAAAGGGCTCTAGGATGGCATATCGTCTCCCAGATCGCGGATACGGACTGACTGCCCCATAGAGGCTGGTACTTTAGAGACTACTTCAACCAGCCTTCTCGAGCTGAAATCGGCACCGTGGTTGCTATTCTCGAAATTGGAGCGCTCGTGGCATCATTGTTAGTCGGAAGAATTGGTGATTTAATCGGACGTCGAAGGACCATCCTCTACGGTTCAATGATATTCTTTGTAGGCGGTGCTTTCCAGACCTTTGCAACTGGCCTTTCCATGATGATGGTTGGTCGAATCGTTGCTGGGTTAGGAGTTGGAGCGCTCTCTACAATTGTCCCCGTCTACCAATCCGAAATATCTCCACCTCATAATAGAGGGAAACTTGCCTGCATTGAGTTCACTGGAAACATTTGTGGATATGCGGCTAGCGTCTGGGTTGACTACTTTTGCAGCTTCATCGACAGCAACTTCGCGTGGCGGATACCGTTACTCTGTCAATGCATCATGGGTGCTCTCCTTGGGTTTGGAAGTCTCATAATCCCTGAATCTCCAAGGTGAGTATAACATACTTCTTCATTATCTCTCGTCTTTGTACCCTGGCGCTCTCCCTTCCGAACCGCGGGGTTTTCCTTAAATATTGACTATTCGCAACACCAGGTGGCTGTTGGACAATGACCACGACGAGGAAGGCATGGTCGTGATTGCGAACCTCTACGGAAAGGGTGACCTCCATAACGATAAGGCACGACAGGAATACAGAGAGATCAAAATGAATGTCCTTCTACAACGGCAGGAAGGTGAGAGATCGTACTCGGAAATGTTTCGTCGCTACTATAAGCGCGTGTGCATCGCAATGTCCGCTCAGGCTTTGGCGCAATTGAACGGAATCAACGTAATCTCATACTACGCACCTCTCGTTTTCGAATCAGCGGGATGGGCCGGTCGCGATGCTATCCTCATGACCGGTGTTAATGCACTTTCTTATCTTGCATCGACCGTACCCCCTTGGTACCTTGTGGATCGTTGGGGGAGGCGCCCAATTCTGCTATCTGGCGCTGTTGCTATGATTATTTCTCTCTCTCTCATCTCTTATTTCATCTACATAGATGTGCCGGCTACCCCGACTCTCACGGTTATTTTTGTCATGATTTATAATGCTGCGTTTGGCGCCTCTTGGGGACCCGTTCCCTGGCTTTATCCTCCTGAGATCCTACCTTTGAGTATCCGTGCAAAGGGTGCGAGTCTGAGCACGGCAGCAAATTGGGCCTTCAACTTTCTGGTTGGAGAGGTTACTCCCGTTCTTCAGGCCCTGATCAAGTGGCGATTATATCTCGTCCATGCTTTTTTCTGTGCATGTAGTTTCGTGCTTGGTGAGTAGATCTGTCCATCATGTTTTCTGGCACCGCCTTCCTAACACAGGATCTCTTCAGTTTATTTCTTGTATCCAGAAACTAGTGGGGTTCGTCTGGAAGATATGAACCTGCTCTTTGGAGATGCCACAAGTGCCATGCCGACTCCCGCTACGCAGGCAGAACGTGGCTCCCTCATCGGTGTCGGATCGCCAGTCCCGTCTCTCGATCTCCGACGTCAGCAGGGTCAATTCGGGGCTGAAAGCGCCATACCAGGATTGGACATTGACCCTCCCAACATCAGTAGTGATAGCAGTGGCAAGTTCGGTAGCCGTGTCACGCGGGACGGTGGAGACAGCCGAAGTGAAGGTCTTGGTGGTTGGATATCGAATATGATCAGCCGGAATAAGGGCCCGTTGAAGAAAGGAAGCAGCACTCAATATCGACGCCTCGATCAGGATGAGGAATAAAGCCAAGAATCGTTATTTGCGTTTTGGGATTGAAAGAGGTGGTTATGATCATTCTGTAGATCATCAAAATTAAGTGATTTCCTGTAAACTTCTGGCGAAAGAGGGGGGGTAATTGGAATTTGGAGGATTCTGTTATTGCACCACGTTGCTTGAGACTGATTTCCTTTGACGTGTGTCATTGACCCTCTTCTGAAAATCGACGATTTACATTTTCTATCTCCATTTTGCTCCAGCCTAGTGTGCTCGCTGCCCTGACAGCGGTCACCGCTTCTACTCTTGTCAGGTTTTCGGCTGAACTTGGTTTCTCGTGGATGGGTTGTCTTTGTTTCACAGGTCACCACAGGTGAAATTTTGGTGTCACGGACTCTGGGACCTATGCAGTGCATGTCCTGTGTGTTAGTCCTATACGCATTTGATGTCGGTTGTCAAGCAGGGTTCGGATGTATGTATATACTAGCCGAGTTGGCAGAGCAGTACTTAGTGATTGGAGATATCGACTAGATTTCCAGAAATCTATAGGGCTGTTGCTGATGAAATTTGAGGTCTGATTCCCAATGAGTTCTTACAATATAAAAGCAAGTAATATAAAAATCGGAGTTTTTATATCACTTGCAAACTAGTACGCTTGATTTGTTTTTTTTATTCTGTACGTAGTATTCCGGGGTCAGTGCTGCTTTGCTGAGGTTATTTCGAGGTTGTGTTCTGCCACGCAATCATACTTCGTAAATGCCTGGCCAACCCCACTATAACGCGCCCGCGGCGGCGCTGTCGAACACGAATAGGAAGGACTGGCCCGTCCGGAGCTTCCAAACCCCTTTGAGACGTTGCTATTATTATTATTCTGTCCTTTCCGCAGCAACTCAGTAACGGCCAGCCTTTCCTGTCAGCAATTGCCTCAACTGTATTGCTGCAACCGGTTGTTCTTTTTAAATCTTCTTGTGTTAAATCCAGTACACACTCTCTTCATTTTCTCCTTTCCCTCCACTGTTACATTATATCTTTCTGTGACCCTCTTCTCGAAAACGGAATTGCTGCCCCCCAATTTTCGGCGTAATCTTTTTTAATCAGATATCCTGGTGCTTCTATGCCGCTCGCAGAAATGTTTTCTTTCATTGTTGCTTGAGATCACTTTAATAATCATACCAGGTACTAGCACCAGGTGAATATCTTGCAAGTCTTCCGAGTTATTTACAAGATCGACGGAGTCTACTCTTGCTCTTAGTCAGACCGTTATCAACTGACAGGGCCCTATTGCTTAATTATTTTCACGACCTTACAGCATGGCATCCACCAATTCGGGTTTTGCAACGGGAAGGGAGCACAACGTCGATGTTCGCCGGAGGAATGTTGCGGATTCTGAAAGGTCCGATGTGCTCCCTGGCCCCCCAGCGGATCAGGATGTTGACACGAAGAAGCCTCCAAAGGTACGACAACTGTATTCAGTTCGAGATAAATGGAGCTGCGGAGAGGTGGATAGTGCCAGAGGTGCTAACAAGAATGTACTGAACAGCCAAAGTCGTTCCTCGCCATCCTGGATGAATGGGAATTCATCATTGCTCCAGTGATCTTTACGGCGATCTCATTCTTCACCCGGATGTATCGAATCGGACTGTCCAATATCGTCACATGGGATGAAGCTCAGTAATGAACCCCGTGATTCTCCTGGTTGACTGAAGATATTCTAATCGTCTCACCTCAGCTTTGGTAAATTTGGCTCGCACTATCTCAAGCGTGAATTTTATTTCGACGTTCACCCGCCGCTGGGGAAGATGCTAGTCGGTCTATCGGGCTATCTTGCCGGGTACAATGGTTCCTTCGAATTCAAATCAGGAGAAAAGTACCCAGAAGATGTCAACTACACATTTATGCGAGTCTTTAATGCCTTCTTTGGCGTGGTATGCGTACCTCTAGCGTACTACACTGCTCGTGAACTCAACTTCCGCAGACCGACCGTCTGGTTAATCAGTTTAATGGTCCTGTTTGAGAATTCATACGCCACGATCTCTAGATTCATACTTCTCGACTCGATGCTGCTTTGTTTCACCTTTACAACCACACTTTGCTGGGCACGGTTCCATCGATTGCAGAGACAAAGTTTCTCATTTGAGTGGTATATATGGCTTTTCCTAACAGGCTTAAGCATCGGTTGCGTCTGTAGCGTGAAACTTGTCGGCCTTTTCTGCACTGCGTTGGTTGGCCTTTACACCGTGGAGGATCTCTGGAATAAATTTGGTGACCTCAAAATGCCTAAGGTCAGAACCGTCGATTTCGACAATTCTAATTCCGCAATTGCTAACTGTGTAAAGATCACATTTGCCCAACACATCGCAGCGCGAGTCATTTGCCTAATCGTGGTCCCTGTTTTGGTTTACATGTTTTCTTTCTATTTGCATTTCTTGATCCTTGAAAATAGTGGCCCTGGGGATGCGCAGATGAGCTCTCTTTTCCAAGCGAACCTGAAGGGGACCGATGTTGGCAAGGACAGTCCTCTCGAAATTGCGCTTGGTTCCAAAGTCACTCTGAAAAACATGGGCTATGGGGGTGGACTTCTCCATTCACATATTCAAACCTATCCTGAAGGGTCAACCCAGCAGCAAGTTACCTGCTACCATCACAAAGACGCAAACAATGACTGGTTTGTCTATCCAAATCGCAATGAACCCGAATTCGATCCGGATGGACCGTTGAAATTTGTTGGTCATGGTGATGTTATCCGCCTGATACATGCACAGACTGGTCGAAACCTTCACTCTCACGCTATCGCAGCACCGATTACAAAGGCTGATTATGAAGTGTCTTGCTATGGCAATACGACGATCGGAGATGACAAAGACCATTGGACAATTGAAGTGGTCAGCGATGCTGCATCAAAGGACAAATCTAGAATCCGAACACTCACCACGGCCTTCCGGCTCCGCCATACTACACTTGGTTGTTACTTGAGAGCTGGGAATGTCAATCTTCCCCAGTGGGGGTTTAAACAGATAGAAACGACATGTGTTAAGGAGAACAAACCTCGGGATAAATATACGCACTGGAATGTGGAAGCTCATACAAATGATCGATGTAAGAACGACCTTGCTAACGGTGTACGTGAAAACTAATGAACGTAATCACAGTGCCTCGTGGTGATCCTGGCTCCTACAAGTCACCTTTCCTCCAAGATTTCATTCATCTCAACGTTGCAATGATGACCTCGAACAATGCGCTTGTCCCCGATCCAGACAAACAGGATGACCTGGCTTCCAAATTTTGGCAGTGGCCGATCCTGAATGTGGGTCTTCGGATGTGTTCCTGGGACGATAGCGTTGTCAAGTATTTCCTTCTGGGAAACCCTCTTGTCTACTGGGGAAGCACGGCTAGTCTGGGTATTTTTTGTTTGCTTGTCCTTTGGTATTTGGTGCGTTGGCAACGTGGATATGCCGATCTGAGTCCAGCCGATATTGACCACATCCATTACTCGGGTCTCTATCCTGTGCTCGGTTGGGTCTTGCATTATGTTCCGTTCATTATCATGGCCCGTGTGACATATGTCCATCACTATTATCCAGCTCTTTATTTTGCCATATTGACTGCTGGCTTCTGCACCGATTGGTTGACTCGAAAACTCGACTCGAGGCTGCAGTGGGCGATTTATATAATTTTATATGCAGCCGTGCTTGCCTTGTTTACGGTATTCAGGGCGATTGTTTTCGGCATGCAAGGCCCACACCAGCAATGGGCTCATCTGAACTGGTTAAGCACCTGGAGGATCTGAATCTGCAGTTCAATGATTTTAATACTGTCTTATCGCGGCAGGCTCCAGTGGCAGCTTGGTCCATTCGGACTTGGCTGCTGTGGCATATTCATGGAATCCTCCAGGGAAGAGATCGGATAGCAGGGAAGGCAAATGGAAGGCGGCAAAGAATAGCACAAAGGAGGAGTTTGTGTGTACCAATAACTGCTAGTTTACGCTAAGTTCTACTATCTCACCTTCTAATGCAAAGTAGTTTATGGAAAATAGCCCCCTCAATAAGACTAGTATAGGCAGATTGGGTCCGGATAGACACGCGTATGGACTAGATAATGACAATACCAAGAAATAAATAGGAGAGAGCGGACCTTGAGTATTCGCAATTGGAAGATGGTACACGTAATTAATCACAAACCACTCTTGTTAGTAGACCCGAATGCTGGGTATTGAGGCGAGTGAAGTTAAATAATGCGTTGGTAATAGCCAGACTGTCGAGAAATGCGTAAGACATCAGAAGCGCATCCCGCATCCTGAGACCTGATCTGAACCTAACAGCACCCATTGTTCCAGTCTTTCCTACCTCTTCCCATGGCATCATTCAACCCCAAAGTTATAGTCCTGGGCATTCCTGCATTGGCCCCGCCGCTAGCCCCGAACCCTTTCACACCGCTCCTCCGGTCGTTGAGATCGTATTTACCTGCTTCAATATTGCGATAGATCCTCTCTGCAACCTCAAGGAAGGCCCGCTCAACACCCTCGCCTGACTTGGCGCTTGTCTCGACGTAGCGAACGACGTTATTTAGCCTGCACCATTCCTCCGCCTCTTGCCTGGTAACTCGTCTCTGATTTACATTACAGTCACCATCGCCGTTAGTCCCGCCAACTGCCAGGTCGCTTTTATTTCCGACCAAAACAACAACAATTCCCTCTTCTGCGATCTGCCGCAGGTCATGTAGCCACTGTGTGGCAGATGCAAAAGTGGACGGGCGCGTAATATCAAAGACTAGTAACGCACCCGATGCTCCCCGAAAATAGGAGCGTGTGATAGATTTGTAGGTCTCCTGACCCGCCGTATCCCAAAGAGACAACTTCATCCGTTTCTGGACCGCAGGTTTCTGAGGTTTGCGGGGTGGACTAGGCAAGCCAGAAGGACTTCTTTCTTGGATATCTCCGTTCGGCACAGCTGACCCAACTGGGGATGTAAAACTTGACGACGCAGGGTTGTCATCAGATTCAATACCTAAGAAATCAGAAGCGGGAGGTCCAACTGGAACAATCCGAGAGCCAAATTCGACACCGATAGTAACATCATGGGTTGGAGAGAAGCGGCCTTCGCAAAGGCGAATGGTAAGCTGCGTCATGTCAGCATGGTAGAGGTCCCTGATGCAGGAGATGCATTCCCATGTATCCAGTGCAAAATTATGGGGCAAATACAGCTTACACTGGACTTTCCGGTGCCCGAATCACCAATGCAGACGAGCTTTGCAATATAGTCCCATGGCTGAGACATGAAGACGAAAGGATAACAGCCAATGCAGCGTAGTGCAATCCTCCAGTAAGGACGTTTTTAAAATAAAAATGCTACAGTCGAGTTCCAGAACAGTGAACAATTAACAAATAATTGGAGAGGAGGTTTGCTGTGATCTGACAGCACAACGGCTGATCAGCACATATTCTCAAAGTTGTCTCTGAAGAGAGGTATTCATCCGCGGCTGTACCTCACAAAGAAAGCACTTGCAATGTCTGATATAATCTTGTACGAAAAGTTGAATCAGGAAGTCAAAGGGAATTTCTCATTACGCGATAATAGCGTTGTCGAACTATTCATGGGCCCTTTCTGGCACAGAGCCTAGTCCAAAGTGGAAGCTTCTTAGTCACCTATCAACGTTGCTGAGTCATCTATCTCTCGCCATCGATAGACTTGGCCCACATGACGCATGTCATCCACCGTTTTCAACCGCCTGGTCGATAGCTTCGAGTATTCCCTCTTATTGTTCAATATCCTGAAATGCTCCCGTCAAGGGTCCCGGAGGACCTCTGGCTGAACTTTATCTCGATCTCAAGTTTTTTGTAACTGTATTCTCACCATCAGCACGACCTGTTGTTCTTACCGCCTTGCACAGCTCTTGGCAATAGACTCTACATCGCAATCTGGTGCTCTTTTCCGAACGCATCCAGCTCACTCCAGCAGTTTGAGCACAGTTTCAAGCAACGTAAAGCGGTTGTTGCCTACTGAGCTTGTGTGTCAGAGATCATGTTCTCCGAATGTATGTGCATCATCTCTTTGTGAGATAAACCGTGCGCATTACTTGAATTGTTATCATCATGGCTTACAACGTTGCCAGATGCTTCCCGTTTTCTTGCCCAGTCTCAATCCCGAATAGCTACTCGACCTGAGGAGAATCATTGGAATGGAGGTGACCGTCATAAAAGATCGAACAATGGCAGCTCTCGGTTTCCCGCCTCGCGCTCGTACCTCTACCGAGCTATCGGTAACCCTTATCAACCGGTTGCATCGCAACTATCCCACTTTCCGTTTGCCTCTCGGTCGTTAGCTCAGCCTGCGCCTCTCTTTTATAGCGCCACGGATGAGTTTCGCGAAGAGGATGATGAGCACGAGCACGAACGAGAAATAGCGGACTATTACGCCCTGCAAAGGTCGAGACGTCATTTCGGTAACAGCCATCTAGAGGAGTCCTCGGAGCTAGATGAAGATGGAAGAGAATCAGAGGCTTCTCGAGATCAGCACCTAGACCGAGGACCTGGTGGTAGAGGCAATGGTATAAAAAGCTCTTGGCGTGATGAAAGGACCAGTGGTCGAAGCCTCAACTCAAGAAACAAGTTCATCACGGCACAAACCAAAACTGAAGAGGAATACAATGGAGATCACGAGAGCGCGAGCGGTAAAGAAAGAATGGTTGATGTCGGTCTCGAGGACACACTGAGGACCGAGCTGGAGGACTTTGAACGTGATTCTCACCCCTCGGACTTTGTTGAGGATGATCCACCTATACAGCAATTCCGCAAGCAGCCAGAAGCCTCAAGCAATTATTTACAGTCAAATTCTTCCTTCATACCCCGGGAAACTGACAAGCAGACTTTGTTGGAACATCCCCGCCCACCCAGCTCTACAGGCTCATCAGCCCCTCCGTCGATGACACAACACGAACTTGACCCCCCGACATATGACAGCTTCTGGGGACACTTGTTTCTTCTCTCTTTAATTGGGCTGTTTGCAACCGCTTTTCTTGTCTACTTGCATACATCATTGCCTTCAGAAGGTAAATGGAGGTGGGGCGACACGATCTACATTACGATTCATAAGTCTTATTTCCTACTCGGCATTTATACATTGGTCTCTATTTTTGTCTCTCTGTTATGGCTCGCTCTCTTGCGATCTTACATACGGCTTCTCGTACATGGAATGCTGGTGATTGTCCCAGTGATCTTGTACTCTTTTTCCCTCTATCCTTTCATCTCAAGTTTCAAAGGTTCGTGGCATGGTGAGAGCATCCAGGACAAGGTAATGCGTTGGGGCTCTATCTTCCCATTCATCCTTGCTACACTCTGGATCTATGCCGTCGTACAGGGCCGCCACGCGACGGGCAAAGCAGTCAGCATATTGGAATTTGCATGTCGGATACTCGCTGCAAATCCTGCTCTCCTTGCCCTGGGCCTTCTCACCGTCGGTGTCATTGTTTCCTGGACTTGGTTGTGGATGCTCATGTTTACCCGTGTGTTCCTCGGAGGACATCTTTCCAGCTCGAAATCATTCATTATTGACGTCAGTAGTTGGTGGCTGGGAGTCTATTTCGTCTTAGTCTTCCTGTGGTCTCTGGGGGTCATCGCTGGAATTCAACGAGCGGTCACGGCTGCAACTGTGAGCCAATGGTATTTCCACCGTTTAGCTGTACCGACGCCTACGTCTCTCCAGATTGTGAGGGCGGCACTGGTTCATGCTCTCACGACACTCTTCGGCACAATATGCCTATCAACACTTCTAGCACTATTACTTAGACTTCCTTTACTTGTTTTGCCGCGACGCATCTCGTCTATTCTCACCCTATGTGCTTATTCTCTCATTCCTACCCCAATAGCAGCTCTCACCAATCCTCTAGCCCTGACTTATGCGGCCATTCACTCTCAACCACTTTCAAGGTCTGCCCGTGGCCTCACTCAGATGCCATTCTTTTCTTCGACCACAACCACTTCCCTGAACCCACCGTCCTTCTCTCGAAAATCAAGCAACTCTGCGCCACTTCTTCCATATCGGCTATCCAAGCTAATTTTGCATGCCTCTCGTTTCGCCATGTCGCTTGCTCTTGGCTTTGGTGGATGGGTAACTACTGCTCGGAGTTTGAATGTCTCGGACAGTAGCACAGTTCGTGGGTCTTTATATGCTTATATTGTTGGCTTGATTGCTGCTGTCATTGGGTGGGGCATCCTTGGTACAATGGAAGGCGTTCTTGCTTGTATTGTCGATGCCGCCATTGTGTGCTGGGCCAGCGAAGTCGGAAATTCTGGTCGAGAGGCCAGATATTGCCGGGAAGCGGGGTGGTTGTTCGGTGAAGACCGGGATGTAGCACAAGGACACGTGAGACGTTGGGACTGGGTGTGAAATGCAGTGGATAGCTATATCTCAGTCATACGGCTGTTCTCTTCGCAGTTCACAGTGCGCTCTTTGCAATGAGATTGCTAAGGTAGTTTTTCGGACATGCGTATTGACACCCCATTTTGTTTTAAGTCTTTGGGTTGGTGCATGATGCGTGTTGATCTCGTTCGATATGACCATTTCCTGCATACTGGGGCAATCGAATCTCGAACTACTCGAACTTGTTCCTTTTTTGTGTCTTCTTTCTGCTTTTGCATTCCTATCTGCTTAGCTTTACGTTGTGGGGTTGATATATATGCAATTCACTACTAAACGACTTATGTTATTATAGAGATGATCGTTTCTCGCTTTTGGGCCTTTATTCAAGACAATTCCACCCTGTGGCTTGTATTGTTTGTGAAGATATCGTCGTTACCTTTTTTTTTTGTGATATCAACAACTTCAAGAAGCCAACTAACATACAGCCTTATATCTAAAGGTTCAGGCCCTTTATTCTCGTTCTAGGACCACTGCAGCAATGAGAGATATTCAGTAAGCTTTTTCCTAGGCCTAGTCGACAGGCTTATTCAAAGTAAAATCACGTATGTGCATACATGGTCTGTTAGATATCACTCATTCTAGTCTATGCTAAAATCGAGTCAATTAAATTCTCAAGCGACAGTTATACACAGTCCAAAAATATGTTATGCGTATGCTTAATATCATGTTTTTTTTTTCTTAGGTCTATCTGCTTTGCTCCCTACTCCGGAGTAGACATTGTGTGAAGACCTACAAAGCTGAAATATACCCAGCTCTATCAATCAAAAATAACGATTTGGTGTTCTCTCAATGCGGTAATTTGGCTTTACAAGTGGCGTCATAGCTGTGCGGATAGTGTGTTCCCTGATCTCTCTCGGTGTAGTAGCAGCGCTTTTATAAATTTTTAGAAGCGTTCTGTCCGTTTTGCGATAACTTTTTTATTCTGTCCTGCTTTTCATGACATGCCCGGCCCACAACAGAAACATAGCCCTCCAGAACATGCATGTATAAAATCATACATTGCGAAGAAAAAATGAAGCCAATTCTTGGGAAATCGACATGACTACCAATTCTGCTCGTGCAGAGAAGGGGCCAAATACACCCACCAGGAACTATGGACGTCAAACCGTTAGTGGTCGGCTGTTTGTCCTGGCCGGCTCTTGGATAAGCAACTGTTCGGAAAATCAATAGCACTTGGATGAGCTGAATGGTTCCCATAATACACGAGGTACAAAGGTGACTGCGAGGAAGAATGATATTGGGTTTTTCCCACTCTGACTATCATTCCGGAGTGATTGTATCGCATCCAGAGTTTCATTTTGGAGTGGGGGTGTGGCATCTTTCATCTCCTTGATTGTGCTATCTATGATACCACTTAATATGTAGATCAACTACGTGTCTATTCTGGTCTTTGATGTCTTTGTCATGATGGCATCCGGCCTTAGACATTGATTCTCCTCCGTGCCTGATGCTAAAGGTCTCTTAGCAAGTTCTATAATGGTGACAGCAGGTATATGTCTTACCTGAGCCCCCTACTCTATAGGAAGAACACCTGCCATCATTGACTTGTCTAGATGTTAAAAGTCTGTTGGAAACACTATTCAGGAAGATAAACCTAGCGACGTGCTTCACCCGAATGACTGAAAGAGCGCCCCATTCGAAATAGAACATTAGATTGACGGAGAGCTACAATAGCCCTCCTAGCTTGCAAGATTCGTCATCCACATCGAAATGGATGGGAGACAGGAGCTAGATCACATGTTCCATGGATGGGAGGTACCTAATTAGGTAGGCAATAACAAATGTACAGCAAAACTCCATTTATCCACCAATCCCCGCCCGAAGATGAAATAAAAAAATAAATAAAAAGAGACTGTCAAGCGAAACAGACGGGTAATTTAAAGAGGGATATCAAAGTCCTAACCGAGCCTGAAACTCCAACCCTTCCCTTCTGCACCATTCGCCCAAAATCGACACACCAAATCGAACAGCTTCCAGAGGAGTGGTTGTCCTTCCCAACGGAAGGAAGAAGTCACCGGAATAGTTACCGACGCTCAGCCGCTCTCGTCCTCGCTCAGAGTAATTTCGTGAACGTTTTGACCAGGTTGCAGGGAACTCTTGCATGATAACATCTTCTGAGAGCTCACGACCTCCCTCTAGCCAAAGACGATGAGCCTCCTTGTAATACTCGGGAAGCCGTGACTTTAATTCCAGAAATTCTTTCCTATGTCTTTTGCTCTCGTCTGATGTAACAGTATTTCCATCGCTTCCTGGAGTCGGCACTGGGCTATGTTCACCAGGAAGTGAACAGACAGCCAGACGTTCAAGGTCGAGAGCATGAATAGTATCGTGAGAAATGGCACCGAGAAGGAGACAAAGGCCATGAAGATGCGGGTACGAAGCTGTGGTCATTTTTACCACACGCCAATACGCCAGGATTGAACGCCATGTCGACGAATCACCAACCTGTCGTGCCAAAGCTTTAGACCGGTCATCAGCAATAAAGGCAAGAATGAAACAAAGAATAGCCTCGACAGCAGTTGCTGCTGCTAGCTTTTCGTCTGCGGCAGTGACATTCCCGTTTGCTGCTTTCGATCTGGTATGTCGATCTGCCTCATGTTTCAACTCGCGGCCGAGGGCTGCGTATTTTTGGAATTCCTCACGCCATGCTCGTCGTTCACTTTCTCGCGACCGGCTTGCTTGGCCGTCAGACGAGGGCGGCGGAGAGAGTTTTGTGGGCTTCTCTACGCTACCAGTTGTAGCCTTACTGGCTGATCCCAACGGGGTTTTCACTTCGCCGTCACCGGATTCGGGTCGGTGTGCAGCACTTCCCTTGGATTCCCTTTTTGGAGTTGAAAATAATGATTTTGCCATGCCAGACTGTTGTTCCTGGGTTGACGACGTCGCCGAAACTGGCGTACGTGGTTTGTCTGAAACGGTCGTCTTCATCACCGCCTTTGGACGTTTGCTTGAAGGCTCATGTATATCATCATTTTCCGGAGCTCTTGGTCTTTTCTCTGGAGTTTTACTTGTCGAATGATGCGAATCTATTTCATGAGAGCTAAGCTGACCTTCCTCGCTTTGGCTCACCATGGCTCTGCGATCTCTCGGCAGCTTCGAAGACACACTGTCCGCAAGAATTTTCCGTTTACCGGAGAACTTGAGTAGAGCCTCCACACGTTTTCTATTTGCTCTCCCATACTTCAGTCTGACTATGAGTTTTGACTTGGAGCTCGCACTTTCAACATTGTAATGGTCATTAGTGAACGACACATTCGTCTTTGCTGGGACTCCGGATGACAACAACGTTGACTGTTTTTCAGCAGGGCGCAATATACTGTCATTTTTGAAATGATCCCTAGACGCTGAATCTGATCGCCCCGAAGAACCATGGGACGAGATTTTGTTCGCTTGTTCTCCCTTCTTGGCGTTCGTGCTCTGAGTACTTGCGCTCGAAACGGACTCCGAATGTGGCCGCTTATGCTGTGAGAACTTGATATTTGGTGTTTCATCTTTCGTTGCAACGGAATTTGTTGAAAAATCTCGCCTGTGGGACGAACCTTTAATCGGAGACTCTTCTCTAAATCGGGCCAATTCTTCTTCAATGTCAGGAGGTAGCGTGGGCGAGAGGAGTTCGGGAAGCCTGGGGCTGGTAGAACTCGGTGGAAGTGTCGGCGAGAGAAGAGCTGGGAGACCATTGTTTGTGCTGTCAGAGCGCGGGAGTTCCTTGATCGTGGATTTCGGAGGAGAAAGTCTGGGTCGCTTTGGAGAAGGAAAATTCGAATGCTCTGCCTGTCGTGGCTTCCTGGTTTTCTCAGTTGATTCTATCCTCGGCTGCTCTTCAGAGGCCCCATTTACCACCCCAGGTTCGGTGGGAAGATGACCGTGTTTTTTCTCTGTGACTTTCCGATCTGTGGATTGCAATTTCGAGATGTCCTGGCTTTTATTGCCTGCTTCCTCGCTAGACTGAGTCTCATTTTTCCCTTCCTGACTCGCAATCGAAGACGAATAACTTCCGCCTTTCGCTTTGGTCTTATAGTCACTTAAGCTGATCTTCTTCTTAGTCGAAACATTCTGGACGGTATTGGCCGCACTGGCCATGCTTCGAGCCTTGGAATCATCTTCCGCCATGATATTTCCACCTTTATCTGACCAGTCTCCCACTGCAACAAGTAAGGAATCTGCCTCGTGGTGCATCAAAAATGTCATGTATTGAAGTTGTTGCTCCTCAGGAGCAAATGGACCGTTCTTCCCCACTGCCCAATTGTTGACAAACCGGTTCCCAATATGGAAAGGGATGTCTGTTGGAACAGCGAGGAGATAGGGGGATGCGGGAAGAATTTCGTCCTTCAGACGACCCAGTCGTAAGTTGAGCGAATCTAATTCCGAAATAATTGATTTCTTTGCATATGATGTTGAGTTTTCTGTATTCTGGCGTGAAGGGGGAGTCGAACGATCCACAGACATTGCAGAGCAACGCACGGGAAATAAGGTACGGAGAAGGTCAAGTACAAGGTCGCCAGTGCTCTCTGGAGGTCAAGACATGAACATGATGTGTTTGTTCTGCTGTTGGTGAGAAAACGAATTGAAAGCGTTCGACGTCAGGAAACGCCTACAAGCCAGCATTGAAATGCCGGTTGTAGAAAACAGGATATTGGAAACAGGAGGCATCAGCACATGATATGCCAATTCCTCAGTCAAATCACGTTTGTCGAAGAATCTATCTGTGGAGCATTGTAATAGTCAATTTCACTGTCAGCTGTTTCACTGATGACGCTTGAACTTTCTATCATCCAGCAGACATTAATGGGGACGTCTGAAATAGGTGAAGACAAAGGAGTGAATTACCAAAGACTTAATAGGTTAAAGCACCCTGAGCCTTTCGCTGGCACGAATGACGTCCTTTGTTTGGGCTAATAGTGTGTTGGCAGCTATAAGATGCTGCTGGCGGCCAGGCGCAGCCACTGTCTCTGCGGGCTACGTCGAAGATGGCAGACCATGGAGAGGCCCTGACAGACGCTCGTATAGAGCTGAGGTCAATTCTGATAGGGTTGTATGGCGGAGGCTGCTTGTTCTTGATGTCGAGCAGAGATGTTTGGCGGACTCTATGAAAAGGGAATGGCAATGACTCGTTCACGGTATCGTAAATGGATCGAGTCTCGCAATGCAAGTAGATCACATGGCCCGCAGACGAAATTGGCCCTGACGTAGTGGGGGAACGAGGGAAATGTATGAGATGTTCAAGACTATCCGGGGACGCTGGTGCAGAGCAGCTGTAACACCGCCCGGCTGGCGGAGCGGCGGGACCATATCAACCCGCAAACCGAAGTTAGGATAAGCAATCAGTTAGCTTTTTGAGTTTGCGGCCACTCTTGCCGGCAGGCGGGACCGGCTAACTAGACAATCCCGATTCCCGAAGTCCATTGGCTGTCTGCTACTCCCCACGCCGCGTACTATTACTCCGTATATCTCTTGGACAGATTACTATTACACTACCAGGCTGAAATCCCACACCATATTCTTGGCAACAGGAGTTAGCTCGAAGCACTACGATGTCAAGGACGTCAACAACATACTTGTATCGACGAACAGTGGATATGATTAAACTCCGATGGTATACATGTATATGTAATGTATGTACTGCATGTACATGAACAGTACATATATACATATATCACACACCAGGCTAGGAGATACGCAGATGGCGGACAAATCTTTCCCAACCACAGAATGAGGTATACCAAAGTATTAGTAAAAAAACTGGCTACAAGCACTTTTTTAAAAGGCTTTCCAATGGCAAGTTCATACGTTCTCATAATCACTGTTCCATCCTGCTCATACCTCCTACCGACTAGGGAGTACCAGATCTCAACAAACTCATTGGTAATCTACACTTGTCGAAGCCCACGCTACACCATCTCGGCTGATACAGTTTCGTGACCTGGGTTCTATATCTCTTGGACAGAGGGTGACACCGCCTCAATAAGCTGCTGAAGATGCTGATCAATGCTCTTAGACGTATCAAAGCGTTATCTGTCGTATATGAATAGACATCTAATCCTAGCATGCAAACTGTGGAATAAAAGAGGCGTGAAAATCTACCTCAAAACCATTGCAAAGGAATATTAGTAACATGAATTCATAGTGAGAAACAAGGTCTGACCATACACCCAAGACAAAGACAAAGAAATTTTATCTCTCAAACTCCATATAAACCCATTATTCTACACAGAGAGTGCAGAAGGTTTAAAAAAAAAGTAAAGAAAAAAAAAGGTCCCAAAATTATTGGGAACTCTGCGAATCACCCGGTTGCCAGGTGGTCTCTTGTTTGGTACCGGGCGGGAGCCATGTTCGGGAGAGGCTATTACCTCTTACTCGAACCTGTCCTGGACGGTCATCTTCCTTTTTCTGCTCACTTAACGATGGAGAATCGGAGTGGCGATCATCTCCATGCTTCGCCGCAGGGAATGCAAAACCGTTTGAATCCCATGGCTTGCTCGGTGTGCCACCGGTCAGAGGTAAAATTGAATCTCGACTTCGGAAGCGATCCGCATTTGCCCGTTGATCGGCAATATCATCATGACTATTGCGATCGTAGAGATATAATCCAATAAAGGTAAGCACAATACCAAGTGCCTGAACAGGGGTTGTCGAGCTTCCGAACCAAACGATAGCAACGACGATGACAAAGACTCGCTTGATCAACGATGCTACCGAGTAGGAAACCGGAGATATCATCGATAACAGCACGAAGGCCAGTATGTTTTGAGCGAAGTGGGACAGACCGTTGAAAATGAACTCGAAGAGGAGAGCACCGTGATCCAATGACCCTTCCTTCTCTGAAAGAGCGATCGTGCCGCTGCGAAGGAATTCCGCGGCCAATTGATAACCCTCGCTGATAAACCAAATTGGCAAAGTGAGGAGGAAGGCCATCCCAGAACAATAGTAAAGCAGGTTAAGTTTGTCCAGCTTGCGCCGCCCATTTGGTTGTGGCTCAGACTCCGCCCGCGACGCTTCGTTGAAAAGCTTCTTGGAAAAGATGTTTTGTGAAACAAACACCAAGGCGGCACATAACGCGCACAGTATCCCAAAAAAGTTGGTAGAAAACCCCGTCGAACAAGCAAGCATGACACCGACTGTCAAAGGAATCAATGACAGATAGGTGGCTCGGGCGTATTTGATCCTGAAGAAGATGCGATACGCCAAGACCGTAAATAAGGGCGAGAGCCCTTTGATTGTGTGAACTAGCGAGACCGGAATCTGTGATGTGGCCATAGAGCTTAGGATATGCCCCGCAAGCTGAAAAATAGCCAAGGGCAATGCTGTTGTGATCACTTCACGGGACAGGGGGAGTATGCCATTTTTGAGCGCCGGCACAACTCTCTTCAGGGCCGGAAATAATGTGGAAAAATATGAGAGCAATAAACACCATATCGAGACGAAAGCAAATTGGACGATGGTAAGAGTTATTGGTTTGGGGAGGGCATTCAATATGGACTTGGAGGAAGTATTTGTGAGGGCCGACGTCATGTACCAGATAAGACAGAGTCCCTAGGCGGGGAATGAGTCATGGCTTCCAAGACGGTACGGCACGCAGCATAGGGTCAATCTTACTATCAGCCTGTATGATATGGGCGCCCTGAGGGCTTCCGCCAATTCATGCGCATTGGCACTCATACTAGCATTCCGCGTCCGGATGGTGCTAATGGCTTCACTGATGCTTTTTCGTGATCTATGTTTTGAGATTCCCAACCCATTGACGTGCTCCCAGAAAACATGTCCAGCTTTCCGAGGTTGCCAGAGATCGTCGGAGTCGTTTCTGAGCGGTTGGGCTGAACGTGCGTTCCCCGATTCGACTGAGCGATCGGAAGCCTCATCGACGAACGACGGAAATTTATCCACAGGGCTGCTCAACGGCTGAGGGTTTGACATCTTTGCCGGCGGTTGCCAATTCGACTGACGCATGGACGCGCGTCGTCCAGTGCCGGTTACTGTAGTGGTGCTCATGCTCCGGTCCGGGAGGGGTTTTCAAACGGCTTGATCGGCCATTGCTTCAGCATGCGCAACAGGCGGCGCTTGGGTTCTCAGAATACTTACATTATTAAGTCTGGCGAAGAAAAACAGGGCTGGGCCGAATCCTGCCGACGTCCCCTGTTTGGCCGAAGCGGCACTCTCCTCACAATGGGGCTGTCGTTGAGCGTGAGATTTGCAAGCGTGGTGGTATGTTTCCGGAGATGACGAATCCTCTGGTGGCTGACCATCAGGACCGCCAATAAGAAAGAAGATCCCGAAACCCACGGGACGCGGAGTTTGGGGATCGCAAAGGACTAAAGAAGAGCCGTCAAAGTGAGGTGCAGTATTTTGTCGACTGTTTCGAGAACGTGGAGGTCATCTTTTCCCAACGAGGCTCAGTCAAAAAAGCAGAGCGCTCGCTACCTCGTGGCATCTGCGCCGCCATGCAGTGTCTCTGTAGCCGGTAGCACGGAGTACGGCGCTCCGAACCCCCCGTAGCGCAATCGCTGGCCTCGATTCCCCCTTGCAGGCCGATTTGACAGCCACGCACAGCGGAGCCCTGCCCACAGCCGGTTCCTCAGTCCTTCCATGGTATGGGGCCTCTGCGCATTAAACCGAAGCGCGTTAGTTCTGTAGATAGATAAACTTACTCCGTACTACTGGCCTAACCTCCTCATCAAGCCTTGGCTTCGTGAAACTGGATGCGATGAGAAGGTTGAGGTCATGCCTTGTCGTTCTCCAGAGTACAGAATTGGAATTTTGCTATGAACCGGGAGTAACGAGGAAATCCGGACATCTACGCCCTGTTCATGACCGGTCACAGAAATGCAGATGACCGTAATGCCTGTTCGTCTGTCTGTCGCACTGCTTGTTGTGGCATCTTGCTGGCTCTCCCGAGCTCTACATAACCATATAGCGTTCAGCCCACTCCTGGGCCTTGGGGAGCAGTCACCATTGGGCCGGGAAGCAGAGGCTCTCTCGTTCTCATCGACGTGGCAACTTTTAGGCCCGTTCCGGACAGGAACGCGAGGTCAGTCATATGTTCCAATCGCAGCTGATAGTCGCTTTTCTTCCTATTATGTTATTTAACATTGAACGTATGCAGAGGCCACATGGGGTGCAGACCCGTTGGAGAGAGTCGGGGGCTTTTCAAATCTGAGTTACGAACCCAACGCGCTTTTCAATAGCGTCCTTAGTAAAAATGGCCATATAAAGTGGAGAACAATACATGCCAATTCCACTCGCCTTTTTCCGGGAAGAAAACGCGCTGTCGTCGGTCTCGACATAAGTTTCCCGGATGCTGACTGGGCCTTTCTGCGATCCATATACGGCTGGTCAGTGTTGCAGTATCAAGCTTGGGCACGTGGTAACCTCACCCTACATGGTTTTCTGGACCAGACTGTCGAGCTAGTTACGGATGGCCTGTTAGAACTTAGAATAGACGGAACTTGGTATTTCGGCGGTGATTTTTACGGCTATCGAAGAGCTCCAATCGTTGTGAAGCTGCAGCCAGGAATGCATGTGGTGGAATTACGACTTGTTCGTGATGTCCGCGCATTAGGAGGTGTAGGAGACCCGACTATCGAGGTACAGATCGAAGCAAAAGTGTGCCACGAACGCCTCAATGTCGATACGAACAGCATACTAGTATCGGAAACTATCCATGGAAGACTTCCTAATTCGTTGGCATCGGTAAACATCCGAAACGATATGGATAGCCCAGTCGAAGTTCTATGGATCAGCTCTCTGGACGTAAGTAAACATGACTCAACTAGCCCTTTATCCGGAGTCTGACATAAATCATGCCAGTCGCATTATGAAGCAATTATGAAGGAAGAGAAATTGCTGCTGGCACCGTATCAATCGCGCCCTCTTGTTTTTGATATAATCCTCGGACAGTCTCCGAATATCGAGTTTTCAGTTGAGATAGCATACAGATCGGTGAACGGAGGCAATGACATACAGACGACCATACCTTTCAAAATCAGCTTAGTGGAGAGATCGCCGGCAGATGCGCAAAGACTTACATATCTTCATCCTGGGGGAGTGGTATCATATGCGATTCTCCGCCCTCCCCCCAGGTCTTCGACGTGCTTGTCGTCCCGGAGGCCTCTGCCGGTTCTCCTAAGTCTTCATGGTGCAGGGGTTGAGGCAGATAGTAAACAAGTCCGCGAGATGTTGGATGCTGCATACGGACTATGTGTCTGGATGCTGTTTCCTAGTGGTATCACTCCTTGGAGCGGGGATGATTGGCGTAAGAGCCCGCTGTCATCATTTTTTAAGAATTGTACTCATCTTGTGTAGACACTTGGGGCATTGCGGACATTCACGCTTCACTGGACGCCATACCTTCGTGGATTGAGAACGTGGGATGGGACGGCCCTGGAGTGGCCCTCAATGACTGGATCGTTATCGGACATTCTAATGGAGGTGAGTGGCTTTTGACTCTATATCTACCTGCATCTAAGGCTGTCAGCTAAGTCGGAGAAGGGCAAGGAGCTTGGTTTCTGTCTACACATTTTCCCGATAAGATTATTGGTGTTAGTCCCGTTTCTGGTTATTCCTCTATAGAGAGTAAGCTTCTCTGATGATTATTAGCCGGCCCTTATGCTGATATGCCAGACTACGTGCCTTTTAACTTGTGGCAGGATGCAGAACCGCTGATTTCATCAGTTCTCCACATCGCGAGATCTTCTTACAAACATGAGTTACTGTTAGATAACCTTGCGGGTATTCCAGTGATGCAGCAGCATGGTTCAGAAGATGATAATGTTCCTGCATATCATTCCCGTCTCATGCATGAGTTGATGGCGTTTACCGGATGGCCATCTCACTACGAGGAACTTTCTGGAAAAGGTCACTGGTTTGAGGGAGTCATGACGACCTCTGCCCTGCTGAGTTTCTACGATACTATTATTTCACAGCAGCTGACTCCATCCTTGCCTCTGGAATTCTCTATCGTTATACCGCACTCCGGTGATATGGGATCAAAAGGGGGGATCTTCGTTGATCAGCTTCAAACCCCGGATCAATATGGTCGTATCAAAGTCACGCGGAGTGCGAAGGATGGGTTTTGGCGTCTCAAAATGCACAATATTCGTCGATTTCACTTTTCCCCAGAAGAGGCTCGGGTAGAAACACCCACTGCTCTTATTTTAGATGACAGGGAGGAGCCATTTTTCGTTGACCTAGCCAACAGTGCACAAACTTATTATTTCAAAGATCGCTTCGGAGAATGGACAGCCTCGAATGACACTAGATGGCGGAATATAAACCAGAGATATGGCCGCCAAGTTGGCTCAATGGATGCTATTTTACGCTCTTCAGGGCCGTTCATCATCAGAACTTGCTCCTCAGATGGTAACCATGTAGCAAGCCAGATTAGCCGGAACCTTTTCCAATACTTTGCAGCCGATTCTCTACTCCTCGATGGCTGCAATGCGACAAATGGCTCCTCCCCTGTTATGGGCGTCGGTAATCAATCCGCTGAAGCAAATATCATTACCATTGCTTTGGGTGATATGATGCCGCCTGCCGCCAGCGACGCATTTCCCATCTCGATCAGCGGTGATCGTCTTAGGCTTTACAAGGAAGACATCCACGACGGGGACAACCACTCTTCTGGCTGTCATCAAGAGGATCTATCGTATGACTATGAACTTGAGAGCGGGATGGGAGCGTTGTTTCTCCGTCCACTAGAAGAAGAACGACTGGAGCTTGTGGTGTGGGGTGCAGATGTAGCCGGTCTTGAACATGCCGCACGCCTTGTCCCGGCGCTCACTGGTGTTGGGCAGCCGGATTTTGTGATATTGAGTGCCAAATGTCGCTGGATGGGCCCGGCTGGTGTCTACGCCCTTGGCTTTTTCGATCACTCGTGGCGGATATCAGCTGCATCCTATGTTGGTGGGTTTCCGATCAATGACAGGAGCCCCCAGGTACTTTATTAAACCATCCACCCGAATCATTCGCGGGATAAAATGTACTTCTGTATGAATATATCGGCCAGTGATATGCCATGACCGAAACGATAGGCCTGTCTGCGTTGGGTAGATTACTATGGAAATTTCCGTGAGCAACTGAACCGAAGGATTTCGGGGTTTACCTCTCGAAGGTGTCGTCGAATAGCCCAGCATCCTTCAGTTCCTTCCTTTTCTGGAAAGGGACCAAAGAGGGCACACGAGAGTCGCGTCGAGACTTCTCTGCTCTTTGTTTTCCAAAGCTTGCCTCTAAACACCCTCGGACCTTCCTCGTGTCTGTTTCCATCCTCGCCCCTTCCTTGAATCTGCTATGACTATTCGTGATTACATCCTGTATCTGCGCGACTGCAATCTATCTCATGTCATCTACACTGCCTTTGCTTGCACGCACTAGATAGGTGCTTTCATTTCCATCACCTTCCATCTTGAAGCTATCTGTCTCCCCCACAAATTGGGCCATTGCTGTGAACACGCTTAGATCCCCGTTACACTTTTTGATGTTAAGACGCGTCCTAGCCCTACATCTTTGCTTCCTTTCGCGTCATCCATACCATTTTATTTCCCTCTGCCTTCTGGAAAATCTTGACAGACAGATTTGTTCGTGTCTTAAACATGCCTTTCTCATCCGCTGAGGCTGCGGAAGCCTCTGCAGCTGGACGCAAGGCACCTGATCATGGTTGTGGTTCTCGCGGGAACAGTGTCGAAATGCATCGCGTGTCTCTGGGCCAGGAAGCATCGGTGAGTTCCTATCTGACAGGGTTCCCAGCCATTATACGGGCGTCAAAGTTTTCTCCAAGTCAAGTATCCGATGTCCTGATGCTTGTGCAATCCAGGGAAACAAAAATTCGAACACATCTTGCAGCCCACCCAATCCACTGATGTCTTCAAAGCTCGGAAACATCCAACCCCCAACTGGCGTCGATGAGGAATTGCCGTCAAATAAGGTCAGATTTCCTCTCATATCTTTGCGACAATCTCAGAGTTAACAATCCTAGAAGCAGAAGGTAGATCGTCAGTCTGCCAGTCATCGTGCTGAGCAGCACGCTTCGGAAATGGAAAAGATTCTTGCCAAACTCTCCCCGAAGCCCAAGCCATCTGTCGATCAGACTCCAATTACCAAGGACATCCTTACCAAGCTCTCAGAGCAACAAACTTTACTCGAGAAGCAACAGGAGTTACTGTCTACCAATAGTGCGTCCCATGTTATCCACGAAGATGATGCCTCGTCTGAAGCATCTCCTTTAACCCCGGCGACAGGGCCTTTTACTGCGTCGGCTTCTACAGAAAACGTTGAGAAAGACAGTGTAGACGTGGCTGAGATGCTTCGCTTGAAGCAGGAGCTCATTGCCGCTAACTCTCGCATTGCTCAGCAGGAGCAGGAGCTGGCGCAGACGCGCGTTATCAAACACACCCTCGATCAGGCACTTGGACCGCCCTCTGAAACTGACTTTGGTGGTCGTGATATATCCGAACAGACAATCAGCAGCTTGCAGAACGCTTTCAATGCATCTGCAAGAACGTTCAATCAACGTCAAGATTCATGGGCTCAGGACGACGCACGTTCGGATATCTCAGACGCTCTTTCGGCCGGAGCCTACAATAGAGCACGCAGCTTCTGGGGCCCTCCTTCACAGCCGGCTTTTGGCGTTGGTATCACCCAAGCCACGGAAAAGGGTTACCCGGATGCACCTTCTCTGTCTCGGAGTGCTCTGGTGCAGGATCCTACCCGCAACTGGTTTCCCCAAACACTCAGTCCTGGATTCCCGACTCAGGGATCCGTCCAAGCTCATCGTGTCCTTTCAGGGCCATCCTCCGCAGTTTCTGGCTTTGATGGACGGTATACTGGCGAACAGAATCCCTACATCAATGGAGCTAATCTTGGTCCTCGCCGCTCGATTACGCAGATGAGCCGAGGAGGTTCCTGCTTTCCTCCACAGCAATCGCCTTGGGGAACACTCACCAGCGGTGCACCAAACAACATTGGCACAAGGTCTCCAGTAAATTCGCCCTTCAATGCGTATCAGCAGATTGGGATGTACCCAATCACACCGTATCAACCGCGTCCCATCGGAACACCTCTTTCTCCTACAGCAGCTGAGTTTACTTCGAATAGTACAAGCGTTGCTCCTTGGTCTGTCACATCTGTATGTTTACAGTTTCTGCCGTTGATGGTTGACCTTGTTATTTGAGTGCGAATTGACAGAATCTAGGTTGGTGCTGCTCCTGCCCAGACATACATAACGCCGCTTGAGCCTCTTAACTATCGCCGGCTTCTCGATAAGAATGTCTCCTGTGACTGGAAATACATCGTGGACAAGATTGTCTGTAACAATGATCAACAGGCTTCTATATTCCTCCAGCAGAAGCTCAAGGTTGGTACGGCGGAGCAGAAGTACGACATCATTGAGGCTATCGTGAACCAGGCCTATCCCCTCATGGTCAATAGGTTTGGAAATTTCTTGGTCCAACGCTGTTTCGAGCATGGAACTCCCGAGCAAGTTATTGCCATCGCTAATGCGATTAAAGGCAATACTTTGAATCTCAGCATGGATCCGTTTGGGTGTCATGTAATCCAGAAAGCCTTTGACTGTGTTCCCGAGGAGCACAAAGCTGTTATGGTCCACGAGCTTCTGCGCCGGATTCCGGAGACTGTCGTTCATCGCTATGCATGTCATGTATGGCAAAAACTCTTCGAGCTGCGTTGGAGCAATGAGCCTCCACAGATAATGGCGAAGGTCAATGAAGAACTTCGAGGAATGTGGCATGAAGTTGCCTTAGGAGAGACGGGAAGCCTGGTCGTACAGAACATCTTTGAAAACTGTGTGGAAGACGAGAAGGTAATAGCTTACATCATAACTATAAATTCGAATTATGGCTGACTAGCATGAAGCGTCCGGCTATTGAGGAGGTCCTAGCGAGAATTGAGCTTCTTTCTCATGGCCAATTTGGCAACTGGTGCATTCAACACATCTGCGAACATGGTGCACCTCATGATAAGAGTCGTGCAATTGAACACATTCTTAGTCGGGCTGCTGACTACAGCATGGATCAATTCGCGTCAAAGGTTGTCGAGAAGTGTTTGAAAATTGGTGGTGCTGAATTTCTGGACCGGTACCTAGCACGAGTCTGTACTGGTCGCGCTGATCGTCCACGTATGCCACTCATTGACAGTGAGTAGACCCATGACCGAGATGTCGGACCAATTTTTCAATTTGCTAACCTCGTCTAGTCGCTGGAGATCAGTATGGGAACTATCTGATCCAGTGGATTCTTCTGAATGCTGCACCCCACCAACGTGAGCTTGTTGCTACCCATATTAGGTATTGATCCCTCCTACCCTTCCTCCTCCCTCTTTTTCTTTTTTCTTTTTTCTTTTTTTTTTCGCTCTGTATATTGTACTCATTGCAGCTAACTTCGAAAGAAAACATATGGTCTCTCTTCGTGGTTCCAAATTTGGCTCCCGTGTCGCGATGCTGTGCTGCAACCCATCTCATACTACTCGCCCTGGACCCGGTGCTGGTGTCCAAATCAGCCGCTTTGGGAACCCCAATGATGATCGCATTCAGATGACAAGCGCTCCTGGAGGCCGATTCAATCGTGGCAACCTATGGAACCCTAGCTACCCTCCGTTCCGTTGATGATATCGGTATCCTAAGGGTTGCATAAACCGCCTTTTTCGCTGTTGATCGACCGAATATCATCAGACACATGAACACAGAGTGTGAGCGAACTGTCCATTTAGAGGTATCTTCCTTCTTCTAGAATTCTGGGATGAGCGCGGATGTTGTGTTTGGTTCATGAACCTTTATCCTCCCATCTCTCTTGTTGGATTGTTGAGAAACCCCCGATAAACGGTGTAACCCTTTCATCGGAAACTTTGTCTTATTTTCTTGCTTTCACTTCTTTCCTTACCCCCAAGACCACACATTTCATTCTTTTTAATCCTCACATCTTCTGAAATCCATAATATCCTAAAAAACCAGCTAGGACCTCATAGGTATGAGCCACCATATCAAGGGCTTTGGTTTACCAAGGCGACCCTTGTCTTTCTGCTTTCATTGTGACTGTCATGACAGCTTGTATTCTATTGCTCCTCAAGGCACACGCCCTTCCCAGAAGTCCCCTTCATTTCGGATCAATGATGTTTTCTTAATGCATGCTTCTATGTTCTTATTTAGCATTGTCAAATAGCTCTATGCATGATAGCAAACCAAGGTGATTTCTCCAATCTTTCCCTTTTTTCTTTTTTTTTTCGCAACATTGCTTCTACACAAGGGTGTGTGATACAGGCAATAAATGATCGATGTTGAGCGGCTAACGCCTGCAACATTATTATCCTAATCCGGAACCTCTCAGCATCTGCTCTCCGCCTTTTCTCCCCCATCGTTAAACGAAACCATGAAACTTGAAATCATAGATATCAGGTTCCAAATACCTTCGTCGCAAATATATGCTCTTCACTTTTGCTCTTCCAACTCTTTCTCTTTGTCATCTTTCTCCCAAGGTTTACGCCTTCTTGTTACTCTGCTGAGGGTTTCATGACCTGTCAACACCGTGTCTGGAATTTGCTGAATACCAGGTATAGGTTGACCAGTAGTAATGAGCTCGACAATGTGTGCGAAGGAGGAGGGATAGGCGGGTTCAGACGTTTTTTGATGATTGCTTGGCACGGAATGCGGCGATGAAGACATTACACCTTCTGATGACGTCGTGGTCGTATGCTGAGGCTGGAAGTCGTTGCTTGTGGTCCTTGTGTCTTCTGGGGATTGTGATTCCGAACCCCGCGATTTCTCTGCTGCTGATTTCAACCAGTTCTTATAGGCTGCGAAATCTAGAGGCGGCGTGATATTCTTCTTCCTGTGCAGAATTCAGTGCATTTGTTAAAATCGAATGAAATCCACACACGGGGCAAATGCCTCTCCTCGTTCATAATTTGCAACCGAGTAGGATGTAAATTAGTGAGCGAGTTAACCGAACCTAGAGATATAAAAACACTTTGCCTTCAGGACCAGGTCATCTTCGCTGGTGAGCTCCGCCTCTGAGGCAGGCGTATCAGGATGACCGAGAATGACTGCCAGCCCGCTTCTGAATTCGGCATCAGAGGAGAATGAATACGAATTTATGTATTCATAGAGAGCAGTGACTTCGGATTGAGAGGGGTCGGAGTGATCCGTTGGTATCGTCGCGGTATCATCTCCGTCCTTGTTATTATTGTATGACATTATGGATGTCAGGGAAGAAATGAGAATTATTAATTACGAGAGCTGTCTAGAGAAGTTAATATCAGTTCGAAGACAGTGCTCGAAGACAGAATCCTACCGTCGAAAGGCCTCCACGGTGCTGCAGTTGAACCGATAATAATAATAAAATTAATGAGGGGAGAAATGATTGATTAGACCGACGTCACATGAGGTACTACTTGGTAACGGCCCCGCGCTTTATTATTCCGATCTTTTAATTCACTCTATCTTTAACTCCGTAGGTAGAAGACGGTGCCTGATTACGTAAAAACAGAACTCTGGAGTAAGCTGGAGTATTAATCCAGTCTCCTAGAGAGTCCCAGATGACGATTTTTCGCTAAATACTTCTGTTTCATGCCTATCTTTTCCAAAGGTTAGATCCTCATTATTAGGCCTATGATCCATAACCTTTCCCTGCCAATATTACCCAAAACAAGCCAATATTTTGATCATGTACTGTACATACATTTAAACGCCAGACCATGCGATGCTCCTGAAACCCTGAATCCTTAATCACTCAAAAGATACACATTCCTACCAGTGGAAGTGCATCAGAGATTTAATTGCAAAACAAGAAAACTGGATATCAGACCTGCGATGGATGTTACACTGTAGTATCCATGGCATCCGTATTGACTTCGTTGCCAGTCAATCCTGTTTGCGACACCTCGGAGTGTGACCGGACAGGAGCACTGCCACTTTGACAACCAGGACAGTTGTGGACAACTTCGTGTGCGAAAAGATCGCAGTCTATACAGAAGTGGTTCCCGCATACCGTGCATTCATAGCGACTGCTGACACTTATGCCTTTTGTCTGGCTCTCCGAGGTTTGCCATTGGTCCTCGGGGGGTACTGGAGGAAACGCTATTCCACATGCAAAGCAGTTTGTACTCTTCGAGGCACGCTTCCATGGTACCTCCACCCAGTTGATGAGAGGAAATAAGTGATGATATGAACGGGCCAGATGTGTTGAAAGGATTAATGTAAGACCGCAAGCTGGACACTCGGCAGGGAGACCGCAAACTTTGCTATTGCATCGTGAGCATAGATAGCCTCCACAGGAGGGTTTGGAGTGACAAGCACAGAGAGAAGGAAAAGGCTCCACAGTACGTGATGGGAATCCCATCATTAGAAGAGCATTGCTAGCCTGCTTCTGAGAATACGTAGCGGGCGGTATCGTCACATCCATCATCAACTCCCGGAAATGTTGTTCATTAAGTGCCACTCCATATACAGAATCGTCACCCCCATTAGTCTTTGCGCAAAGCTCACGGCAAATGGCAACCTGAGCGGCGAGTCCGACAATGCCCACCCGTATCTTGTCGGCAATGAGGGCATTCATTGTCTGATGAATGTCCCCTGGATCGGAAGAAAGCAAAGAGCCAAAAACGATCAAAACTTCCCGAGTACCGTGGCTAGGAGTATGGCTGTCGATGTGAACAAGTAAGCATTCATGGAAATAGAAGCGCTGTAAGATTCAAAGCAACTTACAAAAGCGCCCCGCGGGCCATTTCCAACGCATTCTGAAGACTAGGGTGACCCTTGGGGTCCTGTGCTCTCAGTGCCTGAATAGCACTAATATGCTCCGTAGGATTTCCACTCATATTACTTATCCTCACCGCCAATCCATCCCTCATACCGAGAACTCCAAGTTGAGAGATAGGATTCTGCTCAAAGAATTCCACCACAAACTCCTGGGCATAGCGAAGTGTCAGAAGATAGCGCGTAGGACGGAGGTCCTTTTCGGACATGGATTGTGAGAGATCGAGTATGAGTATCAGATGCCGGATAATTCCCCGTTGCAAAGGTGTGGTATCTCGAACAAGCCTACGAAGAAGGCTGTTCAGTCTCATGCTCCGTTGAAATCCCTTTCGTCCCCAGCCATTCTCACAGTACATGCCAAGCTTACCTCTTCCTCTTTCCAGCCTCCAGTAGCCCTTCAACAGTAGAGCTGATCGTACCGTCTGCACCTTCAACAAGAGTTTCCCAGGTCCTTGAGACTTCCCATTCAGCACCTCCTCGCTGCTTTTTCCGACGGGAACGGGTTCCAGCAGCTGCACCACGCGAGATATTGTGAGCATCGACATCATCTTCATCTTCTGAGATTTCTCCAACGTATTCTTCATCAGAATCGGCCATGGTGGATTGTGGTATTTGCCAGTTCCAAGGCTCGGGGGTGATCTGCTAGTTGGGACGGTAGGTCTCGGCGAACTGTCACTTCCGGGCTGTCAGTGCGGTTCAAGCTCCACCTTGGCCTTTATAGGGCGATTCTCCGAAGAATGAGAACTTAGCAATAATTATTCGCCAAGTAATCAGCACGCGCTTCGCCGTAAATGTGGGGGTCTACGGCGTGGAGACGCTGCTGCGCGTCTCTAAAAGCTGCGTGCGGAGTGACGGCTGATAGCATTGCGGCCCATCGAAGTGTCCCGCAGTCCATTTTTCGCCGCCTGCCCTGCCCCTCCTTCGCTACCTATTCCACGATATCGCCGAATGTAACATTTGGCTTACCATCTGTGTTTCATTCTCTGAAGACTGGAATTACGAAGTCTCCCGCAAGATATTGTTCGACAGAAGTTCGCACAATGGCCAACAAAGACCGTGATACTCTGCCTGATGTGTACGTCATGCGACAGCAGTTCCCTCATCACATCTCTCTTCTGGTAGTAAAACCTATGTTTCGTGTAATGCTGATGATCTTTTACAGGGTCAAGCCCGTCCATTATCACGTTTCCCTCTTTAATCTAGAGCTTGGTGGCTCCTGGAGCTACAATGGTGTCGTGAAAATTGACATCATAGTCATCAGTTCTATCAAGGAGATCGTACTGAACGCCAAAGAGATTGATATCCAGGCTGCTGAGATATATGCTAAAAATGGTTCGTGTTGGGAAAAACGATCCGTCGTCAGTACATTTAGCGAACGTTGTTGACTTGGACATGTCAGGCGCTTCTTCCATCAAAGCAGCTGATATATCATACGACAAGAAATCGGAACGAGCAACCTTCTCATTCCCGAACGAAATAGCTCCTGGCGATGCTGTTCTGGAAATCAACTTTACTGGAACTATGAACAACGCTATGGCAGGGTTCTACCGTTCGAAGTATAAGCCCGCTGTGACCCCGTCTCCCGACACCCCGAAAGATGGCGATTTTCATTACATGCTGAGCACTCAGTTCGAGTCCTGTGATGCCCGGAGAGCTTTTCCGTGCTTTGATGAGCCGAATCTAAAAGCGACTTTCGATTTTGAAATCGAAGTTCCCAAAGGCCAGGTCGCCCTGAGCAACATGCCTGTGAAGTCGGAGCGCGAAGGGACCAAGCCTGATTTGAAAATTGTTTCTTTCGAGAGAACGCCAGTAATGAGCACCTATGTCAGTCTATCCTCCTCAATATATCTTAGCGTGCAAAGCTAATCTGTAAGCGGGTTCTAGCTTCTTGCCTGGGCAGTCGGCGATTTTGAATATATCGAAGCTATGACACAACGCAAGTACAATGGGGCCAGCATTCCTGTCCGTGTTTACACAACAAGGGGTCTCAAAGAACAAGCTCGTTTTGCCTTAGAATGTGCTCATCGTACTGTGGATTACTTCTCCGAGTTGTTTGGGATTGATTATCCTCTTCCAAAATCAGATCTCCTGGCTGTTCATGAATTTGTAGGTCGTGCGATATGTGTTCCGTTTCTATATCCACTGACAGTTAATCGCAGGCAATGGGAGCCATGGAAAACTGGGGTCTCGTAACATATCGTACTACTGCAGTTTTGTTTGATGAAGGCAAATCAGACTCTCGCTACAAGAATCGGATTGCCTATGTCGTCGCTCATGGTAAGTAAGACTCTTTTCCAAAACGTGTTCCTGACATTACTAATGTCCTGATTTAGAACTGGCCCACCAGTGGTTTGGCAACCTGGTGACAATGGATTGGTGGAATGAGCTCTGGTTGAATGAAGGATTCGCAACGTGGGTAGGCTGGTTAGCTGTTGACCATTTTTATCCAGGTAAATACTCAAGTGGGGAGATGGTTCATGTTTCATTTAGCTGACATTCACATGCAGAATGGAACGTCTGGTCTCAGTTTGTTGTACGCAATACTCGAGGTATTTCTGAACGAGCCAACGTTGACAATTGTGCAGGCTGAAGGTTTCCAACAAGCTTTTCAACTTGACTCCCTGCGTGCATCTCACCCCATTGAAGTCCCTGTGAGGAACGCTCTGGAAGTTGATCAGATTTTTGATCACATTAGCTATCTTAAAGGTAGCTCTGTGATTCGCATGCTCAGCAGTCATCTCGGCCGAGAGACGTTCATCCGTGGAGTTTCAGATTACCTTAAAGCGCATGCATATCGTAAGTTCTCCATGCATGGGATAACGGAAATAGTATGTACAAGTTAACCTCTTGAACAGGAAACGCAACCACCAATGACCTCTGGTCTGCACTCAGCAGAGCGTCAAATCAAGACGTCAATAGCTTCATGGTTGGCTAAATGAATTTCTGTAGTCTCAAGGAATTATGCAACTAACGTGTTGCAGGATCCCTGGATTCGCAAGATCGGCTTTCCAGTTGTTACTATAACCGAAGAACCGAACCAAATTGGTGTCAGCCAGAAGAGGTTCCTCTCTTCCGGTGATGTGAAGCCAGAAGAGGATGAAACTGTATGGTGGATTCCTCTTGGAATCAAGACTGGGCCAGGATTGGCTGAAGAAAGGCCTCACGCTCTTGTTTCGAAGTCTGATGTGATTCGAGGCATCAACGAAGAATTCTATAAAATCAACAAAGACCAATCTGGGTTCTACAGAACGAACTACCCTCCGCAGCGCTTGGCAAAACTTGGGAAATCCCTTGATTTGCTAAGTACTGAGGATAAAATCGGACTGGTGGGAGATGCTGCTGCGCTTGCCGTGTCTGGTGAAGGCACCACCGCAGCTCTTTTAACGTTACTCGAAGGTTTTGGTGGCGAGGACAATTATCTGTGAGTCTTACAGAGATCTCCGGGCCCTTTTCTTTATTTAGTTCTGGCTAATGCGCTTCAGTGTGTGGTCGCAAATTTCATCATCACTTGCGAATCTTCGATCGGTCTTCTCATCGGATGAATCCGTGGCTGCAAGCTTAAAGAAGTTCACTCTAAAACTGGCGTCTCCTGCGGCGGAACGAATTGGATGGGAGTTCAAGCCAGGCGAAGATTACCTAACTGGACAGCTTCGAAAGCTTCTTATTGCGATGGCAGGAAATGCTGGCCACGACGGGTAGGGTCCCAGTATCTCGTAGACGTCTAAATTGCATGACTGACATAAAATCTAGTATAATTGAGGAAGCAAAGAAACGTTTCCAACTTTGGGCTTCTGGCCAGGACGAGGAAGCGATTAACCCAAATCTGCGATCCGCCATCTTCGCTATCAATGTCTCGGAAGGCGGTCGGAAGGAGTTTGACAGGGTCAAGGAAGAATATCTGAAGACAGACTCTGTGGATGGTAAAGAGATCTGTCTAAGCTCGCTCGGACGCACCAAGGATCCCGAGCTTGTGAAAGAATATCTGGACTTTTTATTCTCAGATAAAGTTGCCATTCAGGATATCCATACTGGTGCAGCGTCTCTGGCGGCCAACTCCAAAGTTCGGCACTTGCTGTGGGAGTATATGAAGAACAACTGGGGTCCGGTGTCGGCACGGTTGTCTTCAAACAACGTCGTCTTTGATCGTTTCGTGAGGCTGGGATTGGCCAAGTTTACTGACCACGCGATCGCGGAGGATATCTCGTCTTTCTTCCAGGACAAGGACACTGGCGCCTACGACCGAGCGCTAGTGATTGTGTCTGACAGCATCCGGACCAACGCCCGGTACAAGGAGAGAGATGAAAAGCTGGTGCTCGAGTGGCTGCAGGCACACGGATATGCATAGACGGACCTTGTGAGCTGCAGTCTTCTGACGTGGTATATCACATGTCATTTCTCATAGATCTTCTGAAATTACGTCTGCTTCTTGGAGTATTTCCTCGATTGCTTCTAGCTCTGTAGACAGCAAGCCTAGGTTGGGTGAAATCACGGAGAACCGTAGCGCATGGTTGAGCACGAGGATTCGATGAGGCCATCGTCAAATTAGGTGACCAAGGCTGCAGAGACTAAGTAAGAGCGCAACTACATGGACGAAGATCCTGGCTCGAGAAGCGCTCGCTGGTCTGTGGCAGTTGTCGCCTAGTACGGAGGACCAGCAGCCACAGAGTACCCGCCGAAGCCTGATCAGAGCGGCGCTAGAGGCGGATCGGCGGCTGGAGCACGGGGCTGACACCTGTGGCGCTGTGGCACAGGTCAGGCTGGTCGGTCGGCTGCGTCCTGCAGGTGGCAGGCCAAACCCAGTTAGTTGAGTTTGCACGTCGTGCACAACTGCGCTCCTGCACGGGCTCCCCCAGCACCGACTGTCTTAGCCTCTGTGGCATCTGGATACCTGCACTGCTCCGTACACCGTATTGCCAGCCTACCTCAGCAGCCACTGTCTCCCATCATACAGACCTTGCCGCGTTTCTTCTTCTTCTCTCTTCTCCTGCCACTGTTCTTTAGCCCCCGAAACTGCAAGCAAATCTTCACGTCCATCATGAATCCTGAGTGGTGAGTGCTGTTGTTGATACCTCGCAGATCATGATCCTCGGCCGGCTATACAGACGTCCTACAACTATCATCGGAGCTATCTGTTTGGCTAACCTAACTGTGATACATAGAGTACATCTCCTGCCCCGTTACTTCTGGAATCCTCTTCCGCCTGTGAAAACCGACAACCTGGCTCCTCCCATTTAGGGTGGTGCTGACAACCATCACAGATACGACTATCTGTTCAAGCTGCTCCTCATCGGGGACTCCGGTGTTGGGAAGTCTTGCCTGTTGCTGCGTTTTGCCGATGATACCTATACAGAAAGTTACATCTCCACTATCGGTGTGGACTTCGTATGTAAACCTGTTTCAGCTTGAGTCTATTCGCTCCACTGGGACCAGTGATTTCTGGTGCTGACTGCATGTTGCCTTTCAGAAAATCCGCACTATTGAGCTCGATGGCAAGACGGTGAAGCTTCAGATCGTATGTATAAGAAGCATACATTCTACCCATTTGAACTGTGGCTAAAACTTCATTTTCAGTGGGATACCGCCGGCCAGGAGCGCTTCCGAACGATTACCTCCTCCTACTACCGTGGTGCCCATGGCATTTGTGTTGTCTATGATGTGACGGACATGGACTCTTTCAACAACGTCAAACAGTGGCTGCAAGAAATCGATCGTTATGCTACTGAGGGTGTCAACAAGCTCCTTGTTGGCAACAAGAGCGATATGGAGGATAAGAAGGTCGTGGAGTATACTGTGGCGAAGGTTCGTGATCAAGATGCTCTGCCTTATCAAATAAATCGGGTTGCTGATGTTATTCTTCCCTGCAGGAATTCGCTGACAGCCTCGGAATTCCCTTCCTCGAGACGTCTGCCAAGAATGCTTCCAATGTCGAGCAAGCCTTCCTGACCATGGCAAGACAGATTAAAGAACGGATGGGCACTGCTACTGTCAACAACAAGCCAACGGTGCAGGTTGGTCAGGGCCAAGGTGTCCAGTCCGGTTCCGCTGGCGGCTGCTGCTGAGTGAGATTATTTTGTTTTTCTTTGCTTTTCTCGACTTGATTCTGCTCTGCAACGGTCCCGTTTGGCGTGGAGTTTGCATCATGAATACGATTTTTCTTAGTGCTGATGTGTGGGTGGTCAAATCGGTTGTTCAACAGGCTCGTCGAATACATTTTCTGACTCTCATTGAAGTCCTCCATGGCATCATGAATCTGGCGGAGACCGTTTCGATGAGTGTTTTCTCTGATTTGTGCCGACTCGCTCCTCTGTGCCCTCCCGGCCCTTCTCTAGATGGCCAGGGTTTTCCCACATTTCAATCTCTGTTCCTTTTTTTCTAACCTTTTTTTTTGTGTCCTTTTGACGCTGCTTGCCCTTCGATTTGCACCCGTGTCCCGCCCTCTTTATTTCTGATATCACCATCACGTCACCAGTTTGTAGGTTGAATCGTTGCGTATTTTCTGTTGAATATGGGTTAATGGCAAGAATACAATATTAAAGAACAATTTAGAGTCCGCATTTGTTGTTTAGGGCATGATATCCGGTTCTCATCTATCTTGCCATAGTAGAGCGACTATGAAGGAATTGTTATGACCCACTGTCTCTTCAGTCGGTACATGCCGTTCCAAGGCTACCTACTCTCACTACTTGCTCCACGTCAGGTGTAGCAAGGTCCATCGTGATTCCTAGGATTGGTCATGCTCCTTCCAGCATGCCACGGCCCGCCAGCTCAATTTCTAGGTCCTTAAAACTCGCATAAGGAGATATCTATTCCACTTCACTTCGATCGAAACTCGACATATGCACTCGATCTTCCCCGGAAATGGCAAGATCTATGACCAACACCCGGCATGTTTATCTCTCACGCTCTTATCTCCGATCGGCATTCTTGCCCCATCTCCTGTAAGGGCTAAAAAAATGTGGATAGGTATAAAGAACTGTCCCTTCCGCGAGGGAATTCAGTGCGTAGTGATGTTATACGCCTCTTTAGTAAGAAGACAATTATCAGGAGCTCTCAGTCAGGCTGCTCGTTCACTTTGTGATTTTCTTCTATTTTTTGTAAACAGACCTCATACGGTTGTTTTCATACCTCAGCTACATGTAGTTCCTCATGACGTCGAATAGTTTTAATAGCCTAAGTGCATCCTCATTCAGATTTGAAGAAGTGTGAAGCTTTCCAGAAGGAGCGGGTGGATATTCACATGTCAAAAAGTTGGAAGTCAAGATGCATATACTCCGTATAGGAGAGTATCGACAGACACTGCAGAGGGATCCACCTGTACTCCCGAAGTCCTGGAATAAGACCCACTGCCTTGGAATGTACTCCGTACTCCGTACTGTACTACATCTTAAGAATCGCTGATCAATTAACGGGCTCATTAAATTAGTGTGCTCATAACAATTTTTTATCGCAAAAATTGTCTGACCTCTGCCAGCATTCGGCAGAAATAAGCGCTCCGCGTGTGGCTTGGGATGTCCATTGTATATTGTATATGTAATGTATGTAGACACATAATAACAATCCCGCCTTCGGGACTAGATGATATCGAGAAAATTTGTACTCTGTATGCATCTCGTTAATGCATAAAACATATCACATGCCCTTCAGGTTAAGTATCTTGCATTCTGTCGCGTTAACCTTGCCGCGCAATGGCATAGGAGATGCGAAGAGCAGACCAGCGCGGGATAATGCGCTAATCGGTTCAACCGAGGCAGAGTCGGCAACGTCATATGGAGGGCCTTCCGTCTCTGCAAGGTTCAAGCCGAAGTATTATCGTCCCAACACCAGTTATCAGCCCGGGGAGCACCACAAGAAGAAGTCGCAGAACATTCCCTTTGAAACTCTTGTAAATTGTCCGAGGCGGTCTTGCTGCTCCGAATATCGTGCCTTTGGTGCTCCATCACATCCAATACTCTTGTGACCTTGTTCTTGCACTTTTACACTCCCCGCAACCGTCTCTGATTCCCTTTCTAGTAATTCTATCGTCTCTTGCATCTCGGCCTCCTACAAATCATGTCTCAATCCACCGTTGAGCAGCAAAAGAGAGCGGCGGCGGCGTCTGCCGCTGCGCAGCAATCCGATAATATTGCGCATGCTCTAGCTGGTGCCGGAGGGGGTATTCTTTCAATGGTCTTGACGTATGTTGTCTTCCTCTCCCAGGCATTGTCCTTGCGTTAGCCGTACTAAGAAATTTGTCTGTGACAGCTATCCCCTGATCACATTGTCAACAAGGGCACAGGTTGAGTCCAAACGCGCGCAATCTTCAACGCTCGACGCTGTTCGTCGTATCATCCAGCGAGAGGGAATCGGCGGACTCTACTCAGGTCTGGAGTCGGCCTTATTTGGAATTAGTGTTACGAACTTCGTATATTACTACTGGTATGAATGGACTCGAGCAGCTTTCGAAAAGGCTGCTGAGAAGGCCGGGCGTGCTTCCAAGAAGCTCACCACTGCTGAATCAATGATTGCGGGTGCTATTGCGGGCAGTGCAACGGTGCTGATCACCAATCCCATTTGGGTCGTCAACACCCGGATGACAGCTCGCAACTCCGAATCGGAGGAGCAGAGTCTCCCGGGGACCCCACGGAAGAAGCCACGGTCCACAATCCAGACGCTCTTAGACTTGCTTCGGAACGAGGGCCCAACGGCCCTATTCGCAGGAGTTCTTCCAGCGCTCGTCCTGGTGATCAATCCCATCCTACAGTATACGATCTTTGAGCAACTGAAGAACATTGTGGAGCGCCGTCGGCGAATAACTCCCACGGATGCGTTCTATCTCGGTGCGATCGGCAAGATTCTGGCTACTACGATCACGTACCCGTATATCACTGTGAAGAGCCGCATGCATGTTGCTAGCAAGGATGGTCCCAAGGAGAGCCTCAATGGCAGCTTAAAGAAGATCATCAAGGAGGAGGGCTTCACAGGCTTGTACAAAGGTATTCCGTTCTTTCCAGGTTGAGTAGATATTTTCGTCCTTGGGCTCACTTTATTTTCACAGGCATTGGGCCAAAGGTTAGCCAGAGCGCCATCACAGCTGCTTTTCTTTTCGCATTTAAAGATGTCCTCTATGACCTGACGGTTGCGTTGAGACGCAGAGGCCGGGCAATCAGCAAATAAATGCTATGGACGTCTGGGGTGTTTTGGGGGGCGGCAACTGCTCAGCAAATCGGCCCTTGAGACCTGGTCCGCCTTGATTTTAGAATCAACGAGACCACTCTGGTTGATTTTCTCGCTTATAATCCCTAGAGAACTTTGAGCGCCCCGAATGCAAGGGGACTGATGTTGATCTGAGGGGCGACATGCCGTTGTTGAAGAACATATGTCATGGAATACTATCTTGCCTCGCTTGGGCAGCGGGATAGGGGTGCGGTACCAAGCTGCTAATTTCGATCCAGATTGTAAGAAACATGTGGTTCGGGAAGCACGTTGACTCGTGTATTTATATTCATAGCCGTGAGAATTATGGCTGGCAACTTACCAACATGAATTGAACATCGTAGTAATTTGGCCCACTAGTAGCCTCTCTTCGGCTTCGGGGTGAGGTTAAATCAAAGGCGGGTGCACGTGCGCCCCGACGCGGGACGTCATCGGTCGCAGCCGATCACTTTACACGTCTCGCAGCCTGCTATCGCGCGTTGTTAGCTTTGGCTGCAGTCCCAGCTGTAGCTGGCCTCACCCAATGACTTACTAAATTCCGTCTGGCTCTCATGCTATTGTAGCTTGTGGTCTTGAAGGGGTCTTGTTTCTTGCTCTTTGTTTTGGTGGTCAGTTGAAACCAAATTGAAAATTAATCACCAGCTGCATTGGTACTTATCACCATATTTTCAGCTTCAACTGACAGTTGCCTTGATTAGGTGATTATCCATATCTTTTATTTACATTCCTGCGTTTTTCCTTCGTGCCTGCCGTCCCATCCTGCTACCGCATCTCAGTTTTCATTCACTGCATGCCCTTCAACAGTACCAGTCAAGCCCCACCCTGGCTGAGGATGACTGGTAAATAAAAGACGTATGATGAATTACACGAAGTCGCGAGGGCAGGGATCAGCGTGGGAGATTGGAGTGTCTTGGAAGTGAATTATCTCGCTGTGAATCTGTTGCCTAAGTACGGGTGCAAATACTAGCGGGAGATTGCAGAAATCAAATGAGGAGATATCGTGTCTTCATCACATAAGCGTTGTTGTGGTCGCCCGTCTCAAAGTTCTCTGGTTCCTACAAGAGCTGTCGCATACGGACGGAATCCAGCAATGTATGATTCCGACGAGTCCTCGGATGAGGCACAGTTGTTACTCTCGAAATTCGTGTCACATTCTCGCCAGGCGGATCAGCCATCCAGCTCTGAAGGAGTAAAAAATGGCCGGGCTACTGGCCATAGAAATACAAAAAGGATGGCTGGCGGCAACATGAAAGCGACGCGCGACTTGCGACCTGACTTTATCCGCAAGAACCGAATTGGCCTCTCAGCTTCATCTCCTCCTAGTACGCACGCACCTATTATCCCGCAAAATAGTGGCGGACTTTCGCCTCTACCATCGAACGTACAGCGTTCGCCGCAGCCTGGAACTGCTTCTAGCCGACGGGACAAGTCCTTATCTTCTATTTCCAGTTCTCGAACTGTCGATACAGATACCGTGAGAATAATAGTACCAACCCTCGACGCTGCCAGCTTACCGTCAACCTCTACCAAAGGGTCAGTTTCTCCGACTCGTGGTTCTACTCTGCGTCGACAGCCAGGACTGGATGTTTCCAGAAGGACATCCTCCGGAGTTCAAGCAAGCCAACGCCCTCGTCGGTCTACTGCAGTCCCCGTTAATTATTATGCGAAGTCAACCTATTCTGGGTATGGGAGTGAGACAGACGGTGAGGCAGATCAAACCAGCGCTTCTGTCAACGTTGAGGTTGCTGTTCCTTCACAGCCCCAACTGTCGCTCCCACAATGCTCGAGAGGACGATATCGCGTTATATATTCTTCCCGACAGGTTCGGATTTGTCGACGGTCATTTCAACATCTCAATGAAATTCCAGATCTTCCGCATCACGTACCTTATGCGCCTGAAAATGAACCGTCCTGCTATGCAGAGAGATCAAATTCAAGTCCTACTCGCCAAGTATTACATGTGTCCTTTGACCAGGAAGAGATGGCGGCTATGCTTGGCCTGTTGGCACACCATGGGTTTCATTCTGATTTGTCAGAAACATCTCTTTCTGATCAAATCATACAAGCTGTGAGAGCTATTTCTGAACCAAAGTTTGAACGGTCCTTTGCAAAGAGGATTACTCAAATGCTTGAGCTTGACAAGCTCCTGGCTGAGAATGGCCTTGACAATTTCGAGACATATCGTCATACACCGACTAAGCCAATGTCTGTCGAACTGGATACTTGGAAACGCATAGGCCGTCTTTCAAATACGCTATTTCCGTCTGCAGATGCTGGGCAGGACTCTTCAAAATGTTTATCTATGGCGTCTGTGCTTAAACGGCGTAAAAAGGCAGACATCCGGTCCTTTCTGTTGGATGCAAAAGAGGGTGATTTGCCTACAACGCCGTATTTTGTTGAAAGCGTGCCTCACCATAGCAATTTTATGGATGAGGAAAACATTGACCAAGGCCGTCGTAATGTATCCACGATATTTTGGGATCGCGAACGGGGAGCCGGCCCCGGCAGGAGGTATTATCAGCGGCTCTCTGATGATGGTCTAAGACTGTCACGGACATGGAAGGGCGCTTCTAATGATGTGCTTAACCTTACATGGTCCCCTGATGGCACGAGGTTTGCGGTTGGTGCAGCAGCACAGTGTGATGAGCACAATATGCAGTATAACCGCCGCAATAACCTCCTCCTTGGTGATCTTGTCCGCAATTCTATCAAGGAACTTCCAGATCACCGTATCCCTCGTCCTTCAGCCAGCAGTACAAGTGACCCTCATCTATACATGAGTGTTACTGCTGTCCAGTGGTTTGAAGACAAGCTTTACACCGCCAGCTACGATGGCACTGTCAAAGTGTGGGATGTCTCCACTCACGAGGGTGCAGCCTGTATTCATACCCTCAGGCATCAGGGGAAAGTGCAAGTCATGGCTCGAGCAGACTGCAATGTGAATCTGCTGGCGACAGGGACAGAGTCAGTATTTGGTCTGTGGAGGGTGTATGAAAGCAATCCGACCTACCAGCCTCTGGAACTTACACGGTCACGTCTGAGCAAGAATGTAGATTTGACGCCATCATCAGTGGCGTGGGGATCTACCTCGTCAACAAGGGACATCCTTGTTGCTGGCATGTCTGGTAAAGAAACGGAACTTGGCGATCCTTGCAAAGAAGGACATCTTGCTATGTGGAAGCTGAGCGAAAGCTCAGCTGAGGCGATCCAGCTATCGCCTAATTCACAGAATATTTTTGATATCAAGTGGCACCCAGCATGGCCTTGTTTTGCCACAGGTAGTTCTGTACCAGCGCTGCGGACCTCCGGAACAGCGAAGGATGCCCGATCGGTAGTCCGTATCTATGAACCACTTGTTACAAGAAGTCGTGTTATGGAGTTCGACTGTCCTGCTCTCGACATCAATGATGTCACATTTTGTCCGGTGAATAATACATACATCTCTGCCAGTTGCACAGATGGCATCACCTATGTTTGGGATTTTCGCAATCCGGCCGAGATACTGCACAAATTGCCACATGGGGCACCGCTGAATCAACTGGATGAGCGCCTCACCAGAGAGCAGGCGGATGTTGGGGTCCGCGTCGCTCTTTGGGGAAGCGCTACTGATCGCCTATATACTGGTGGTTCTGACGGGGTTCTAAAGTCCTGGAACATTCTCCTTTGTCCTGAAGATGCGCTTGTTCAGGACGTGGCAAATCTTGAGGATGAGATCATGTGTGGACTATTTTCCCCAGATAAAACAAACCTGCTGCTGGGCGATGCTGCCGGTGGGATCCATTTACTCTCTTCTGGCTCGTTCTCCGATTCTGAGTGTGGGTATATGGACTTCGAGCCTGCCAGTGAGCCGAAAGGAAGCAGTACGGGATTGAAGACAGAACCAGACCCTGACTCAGGAATTGCGACAGCACAGCAATTCTTGTCCTCTGGGCAGCTCGTCCGGCATCCGGTTTATGGGGTAGGTAAAGGGCCATTTTATAATGGCCCATATGCTGCCTGGGCTCGTCCAAGTGGGACACCATCAGATATGTTGGCGATCACCCCCCTTATCGATGAAGTTCAAGCAATGCAGCTCGATGGGCCTCCTGTAGACTGTCGTACCGGACTGGATGATGCATCTAAAATGGCTGTGAATGCACAAATCCAACTTGCACGCATTCGCAATCAGCGACAGAATGAACGGAAACGCAAGCGGAAAGGGAAGCGAAGAAGCAGGGCTCCTATGACTATCACAGAGAAGAACATCATCGTCCTCTGCAGTGATGATGAGGAAGAGGAAGAAGAAGAGAGCATTAACCCACAAAACAAAGCTCGCATTATAGTTCCAGCTGGAGTCGAGATTATAGATCTTACAGGTGATACTGATGGAGAGGATGAACCTACATCACAGCTAATGCCTCGGCCTTTCCCTTCAGATGATGAAGGTCACAAAAGAGAGCAATCACAAGAAGATGATCTAGAAGAGGACTACTGGTGGCCAGAGAGCTGCGATATTGATCCGAACATTGGCGACTCTGATCTCTGATCTGTGCAGGAGACTCAGCCCACCAGGGAGTTGTCGATACACTCGGCGGCCACTTGCCCAGCTTTTTGTGTAGGGATTGTTTGATCAACTCAAGGAAGGGGAAAGGTTTGGATAAGATACCCAGTTTCTTGGCTTTAATGTCGGAAGCACTTGAAAAATCATCTATGTATGTACCTGTCCAGGTTTTCTTGGGACGTTATTTTCCAGCTATGACTGTTATACAATGTACTATTTGAACTTTTCCATAAAACATCCCACATGTCATGAATTTTGGGGGAAAACATGAGTACCGGTGGCTGTGCTGTGAAGCTGCCATCTGCAGACACTTCTTCTAGAACTATCCAGCGTCTATTGGGGGAAGACCAAAAGAAGAAAGAAAAACTATTCAGCCACATCTACGCCGTAACTAGGATATTTAGTCAGGGACCGATGTATGGAGTACTCCGTACGGAGTAGATTATTTGCCCGGCCATAATCTATTTTGGCACCGTCTCACGCAGCTGCACCGCCACATCTCAGTATCACCAGTTCAGTGACTAGCTTGCTGTCGTGTCAGGTTTAAATGCTGACGCTCCGTCACCTCCAAGGTCTTGAATTTACCATCATTCAACATTAAAAGTTGGATATCAATTCAGACCTCTCTCAGCCCGAGTCTTGTCTTCCACCTGCCCTTACCTTAAACCTAGTCCTCACCGTTCATTATTGAGAGCTTCCCGGGCTCTTATCGCAAATCCCAATGTCGTTTGCCCCTCCTCCCGGCCCACCTCCTCCGCCGGTCCCTCCCGGCTGGAAGGCGCAATTTGATGATCGCTACAAACAATGGTATGACTCTTCATTCCAGTCTTCGTTCTCGATTCCTTCTCTGGTAGTCTGACTGACATCCTGACAGGTTCTTTGTAAACCTCAAGACGGGTGTCTCACAATGGGAACCTCCGGATGCGCCAGCTACCGATTCTGCTGCCCCGCCTAGCGAACCTCCGCCATCGTACGATCAGTCTGGTCCAGCAAACCCTGATGCAGTAGCTGCTGCGGGCGACAAGAAGTCGAATCTGGGCTCGAACAATCCGTACAAGCAGCCGTCCGAGAGTGCGACGGGCAGCGGCGGCCCTAGTCACAGTATCGAGGACGATGCACGGCTGGCGGCACAATTACAAGCAGAGGAAGACGCTCGTGCTGCTGCTCAGAGAAAAAGCCCTGCCCCTGGAGGCGCAAGTGCCGAATATTACAACCAAGCGCCTCCGCCATCATCGACGCAGCCTGGTGGATATCCCCCGCATCCTCCGCCGTCGGATGACCAGCAGCAGCAGCGGTCAAGTGGCAGCAAGGGCTTCCTAGGGAAGCTGCTCGGCAAATCCTCGTGGAATAAGCACAGCGGACACCCTCCTCCCCAGCAAAGCAACTATCCGCCTCCTCATCCAGGATATGGATACCCTCCTCCGCAAAACAATTACCCTCCCCCAGGT